AGGACGTCCTTCTTCACCCAAAGAGTGATTAACACTTGGAATTCACTGCCACAGGAAGTGGTGGCGGCTACAAGCATGGACGGCTTCAAAAGGGAATTAGATAAGCATATGGAGCAGAGGTCCATCAGTGGCTATTAGCCACAAGGTATAGATAGGGGCTCTGGGGCAAGTGATGCTCTGTCATCTTGGTGCTTGGGGGGGTCAACAGTGGGAGGGCTTCTAATGTCCTGGCCCCACTGGTGGACCTCCTGATGGCACTGGTATTTCTGGCCACTGTGTGATACAGAGTGTTGGACTGGATGGGCCTTTGGCCTGATCCAACATTGGCATCTCTTATGTTCTTATGTTCATAAATATCTAAAACAATTCATTAAAACTAACTGACATCCTCTAAAATGCTAGCGACTGACATGCTATTGAGATGGCCTCATACACTAAATGTGCAGGTCAGCTTTATTTCTCACAAGAGGGCTTTTTCAGCAAAGAGCACTTCAACAAGATTATTAGCCTTGAAAACTCCGATATTGTTTAGAGAGCTTCTCATCTTAGCTGTTTCCGTCCCCTGTCTTAACAGAGTGATACATTAATGCAGGGGTCCCTAAGCCTTTTGAGCCTATGGGCACCTTTGGAATTCTGACACTGCATGGCGGGCGCAGCTACGAAATGGCTGCCACGAAATGGCTGCCCTAGGAGGCGGAGCTAGCCACAATATGGCTGCTGCAGGAGGCGGAGCTAGCCACAAAACGGCTGCCACAGCTTACTTTCAATCACACAGAGAAGATCCTTGTGCTGTGGCGGCAGTTGCTGCCAAGGCAACTTTAAAAAAAAAATCTGCACAGCTAATCAAATCTCCAATGGTCAATCAGAACCCTTGCTGGGGAAAAGCCTCCGTTGATCCCACCCACTGGGTAAAAACACTCAGTAGACTTCAGAAAAGGTTTTGGTGGGCATCATAGCTCCCACGGATGTAATTTTGGGGACCCCTGCATTAATGGAAACAGGTGCTGTGGCATTGGTTCCCAAGAACCTATTGAAATAGCATCGGGGGGAGAGGACTTTGACAGGCACCATTGTAGTGATTGCCTGCTAGTGAATGGTGTTAAATTTCAGGGCTCTTTTTGTAACAGGAGCTCCTTTGCATATTAGGCGACACACCCCTGATGTAGCCAATCCTCCAAGAGCTTACAGAGCTCTTCATACAGGGGCCACTGTGAGCTCTTGGAGGACTGGCTACATTTGGGGTCTGTTGCCTAATATGCAAAGGAGTTCCTGCTACAAAAAGACACTGGTGGTAATGAAGAATTTTGTCCCATCAAAATTGCTCTGAGTCCATCTCCAGTGTGTGGATCAGGGTGCTGAGATCCTTGGCTTTTGGGGAAGGTTACAACCAACCTCAAGCTTATCTCTAAACACTTTGGTAGAATTGGTTTACCATTTAATAGGAGGGTTAAGCTAAAATGGCTGCCTGATTAGTCCTGTTTGATCTGAGCTCATCGGGACTTGGGATCCGAGCAAAGTTGGCCAATCCACCAAGGAAGACTTAGGTTGCTGTGCAGAGGAAGGCAATGACAAACCACCTCTGCTCGTCTCATGCCTGGAACGCCCTGTGGGAGGGGTGGCCATGAGTCTCAACCGAGACTTGACGCCATGTTCTTCTTCTGCTGCTGAAACATCACACGGTATTTCCATTGCTTTCAGAAATGGGGAACTGCTTCATTAAAGATCTCACAGATCTAAAGGTGGACGAAAATAAAAGAGCTGTTTTCACGTGTGAAACCAAGAAGCCAGCTTCCACAGTGACGTGGAGGAAAGGAATTGCTGATCTGAAGGCAAGCAAGAAATATGAGATCACCCAGAAGGCCAATGTCCTGCAGCTCACAGTGGATGAACTACAGGAAAACGACAGTGACATCTACACATGTGACATTGGCGATTCTCAGTCGAGTGCCAAATTGGTCGTGCAAGGTATGAATTTCATAAAGATGTCTCATTACAACGGAGATGGGCTGTTAAGTTTGTATGGGAAAAAAATCACGCTATACTCCCAATATTTAAGTCTCCTAAACTAGGTAAGTGAGGGTGTTAGAATATCGGAGTGGTTGTTGCATTAATGAAATACCTTTTAATATGCTGTCCAGCGGGATTGACGTAACAAATAGGCCAAGTGGCCCACCTTCTCTGATAAATCGTGAACGTATTTTATTTTCCATTCAAGTCAGTTGCTGTGTGCCCATACTGACAGGTAGGTAACGCGCTGTATTCATTGCAATATGTAATTTCTACATTTATCAATAAGCATGGAGTTGCGTTCGATTCTCTTACTCTACAGGCTAATGTTTTCACCCAGAGATGTTCTCCCACGCAAGGTTACACTGCAAGTTCGCTTTTGGAATGGGCCAGCCCTGGGAATTTCCTCCTGCCGTTTTGTGCATTTGTCTGTGCTTGTGTTTGTGATTCTTCTTCTTTTAGGCTTTTAACAAATGTCCTGTCAGCAGCAGTGCTCCTTTTAAAATATCATGCCTGAAACAGTGGAGGTTTATGTGGTACAGAGAACCATGGCCAGCATCCAAAGTTATAAAGTATTAAAAAGAAAATGTTTACAAACATACTTCTAGCATTGTACCAAATTGAGCTAGGGATAGCGAAAGAAATGGGGAAAATGCAAATCCTCTGTCCCTTTTCTCTGTACATGCCCTATCAGATGTTAAAATAGGACAGGCCCCTTTAACTTGATGTTATGTCTTAAGGTAAAAAAAAAATGAGTGCACTTATGCACAGTTCTATATTAAAAGAGCATTGCAAAGATTCACCTAATGGGCCAATCAGAGAAGCCTTTGGTGGGAACCACTCTCATTGGTTCCAAGCCCCCTGTTCCTATTGGTTGTTATCTGTTTGTTGGGTGTTGTTTTGCCCGTTCAAATTGTATATAAGTCAGCATTGTTCTATGAAGTTTGTCTTGTGTTGTTATGAGCTGAATAAAGTGAAATCACTTGTTCAAGAAGCTGCCTCGCTCTCAGTTCATAATACTTAGGTAGTCCACATGGTCAAAGCAATGGTATTCTCAGTAGTCATGTATGGCTGCGAGAGTTGGACTATAAGGAAGGCCGAGCGCCGAAGAATAGATTCTTTTGAACTATGGTGCTGGAGAAGACTCTTGAGAGTCCCTTGGACTGCAAGAAGATCAAATCAGTCAATCCTAAAAGAAATCAACCCTGACTGTTCCCTGGAAGGCCAGATAACGAAACTGAAGCTCAAATACTTTGGCCACCCAATGAGAAGGGAGCACTCACTGGAGAAGTCCCTGATGCTGGGAAAGATTGAAGGTCAAAGAAGACGGGGACGGCAAAGGATGAGGTGGTGGGACAGTGTCATGGATGCAACGAACATGAAATTGAGCAAACGTCAGAGGATGGCGGAAGACCGGAAGGCCTGGCGTGATGTGGTCCATGGGGTCGCAAAGAGTCAGACTCGACTGTGCGACTGAACAACAACAAAAGGAGTGGGAGGTTACCTATAAAGAGTGGCCAATATTGAAATCTAATACCTTACTCAAAGGAGGGCATCTGGGCAGGTGTGAAAACCCTGGCGTCAGGATGCCTCGTTGAAGTGTCGATGAGGCTGGCCATTCCATTGTAAACCAAATGTCCATTTGGCAGGAAATACCAATGCAGGAACAAAGCAGTGATGTGTCCTATGTGACCACAAGTGGTTCTGCAATGGGGGCTGTCTCTGCTCAAGTTGTTGCTTCTTCCTGCTCACAATAATGGAGGTATGTGTGCTTCTTCACCAGGCTCGTAACTGTGTAGCTTAAACCTTATTTACGTGTAAGGCTTGTGCAGGCACCTTCTTTGTGTTGCATCACAACAGGTGACTTGGAATGTACAGTCCTCTGAGCCTGTGTGTGTGTGTGTGCACAGTCCACTGTGTGTAGCAATGAATATAAGTCCATAAAGCAAATATCAAGTTCATTCTCTAACAGTGATGGTATGCTTTGGAGGTTGTTAAGTCATAGGATTGTCCTGAGTTGGAGGTGATTTGATGGCTGCGGTGGTTCAAGTGGTTAAGACGCTGAACTGCAGGCTGTGGAAGGTCGGTAGTTCAGCAGTTCGAGACCAGGGTGCCGCATGATGGAGTGAGCTCCCGTCTCTAGTTCCAGCTCCTGCCAACCTAGCAGTTCGAAAGCAAGAACTTGCAAGTCGATAAATAGGTACCACTTCAGCGGGAAGGTAACAGCGTTCCGTGCACCTTGGTGTTTAGTCATGCCGGCCACATGACCACGGAAACGTCTTCGGACAGCGCTGGCTCTTCGGCTTTGAAACGGAGATGAGCACCACAACCCTAGAGTCGGATTCGACTGGCTTTCGAGCAAGGGAACCTTTACCTTTACCTAACACACACAGAGCAAATATACTAAAACATACGTATGTGGTGGAAGAAACCTCTCCCATGATAACAATGGAGAATCTCTCTGGCCGAGCACAGAAATGCTCACCGGTTCTTTGGACAAGACCCTACTCCATGCTGGCTGGATTTATCCTGAGCCAAGAAGATGTCGCTGCCTGTGCGGGCCTGTATCCGCCCGGTGCTGCACGACCTGCACTGGCTGTCTGTTGAATACCGGATCTGTTTCAAGGTGCTGGTGCTTACCTCTAAAGCCCTATAGGGCCAGGGGCCTGCGTAGCGCCAAGACTGCTTCTCCCCATATGAACCTCATAAAACATTGTGTTCTACGAACCAACACCTTCTGGTAGTTCTTGGCCCTAGGGGTGTCCGATTTGCCTCGACTAGGGCCAGGGCCTTTTTGGTGGTGGCCCCTGCCTGGTGGAATGAGCTCCCTTATGAGGTCGGGGCCCTGCGGGATCTGTTACAGTTCCGCAGGGCCTGCAAGACGGAGCTCTTCCGCCGGGCTTTTAGTCAAGGCAGCGGGCATCCACTTTGATCTGGCCTCCCTTCCGGTGACCGCAGTTCCTGGCAGCCGGATGGGACCACTAGATTATCGGTTGGGACGTGTTGTTGTTTCAGTGTGTTGGTGATTCTATTTGATTTCAAATGGATTGTTATCAGGGGTCATTTGGGGGGGGGACGCGGAGGGACGCCATCCCCCCGGGTGAGGTGCAGGAGGGCGGGGCCTGGAGCTCCCTGCTGGTGCCCGCTGGAGGTCGCCGCTGGCTGTGGGGAGGACACACTTCTGGTGATGTCAGGGGGTGTGGCATATGCTAATGAGTTATGCTAATGAGTCCCCCTAGCTCTTTTTCTACGAAATGACCCCTGATTGTTATGATATATTTTAATTGTAAATCTGCATTAATTGCAGAACTATATGTTGGTACCCGCCCTGAGCCTATGATGTGGGGAGGGCGGGATATCTTTTATTCATATTTATGTTCCTTAAAATCTAAATTGCATATGCTATGGTTATAATTTAACTTTAATATGTTTCATTGTTTTAATATTTATATATACTCTGTAAGCCGCCCTGAGACTGCCACGGTGGGGAGGGCGGGATACATATTAAATAAAGATGATGATGATGATGATGATGATGATGATGATGTATAAATAAATAAATATGACCATCAACCACCCCCCAAAGGATTATTGACTTTGGAGTATCTGATAAGGAGATTGTTCAGATGTTAAAATTGCAGTGAAAGGTAAACTAGATGAAGGCAAGCATTAGATTCTGACAGTCGTTGTGGAGGAGGGCATGGGGGAAGGAAAAAAGATCGTACCAGGCAGGGTAACCCTTGCGGTATAGGATTCCTTATGTGGAGCAACACTCTGTCACACCGTGGAACTCTCGGTCTGGGGCAAGGGATGCTCTGTATTCTTGGTGCTTGGGGGGGGGGCGCAACAGTGGGAGGACTTCTAGTGTCCTGGCCCCCACACTGCTGGACCTCCTGAGGGCACCTGGTGTTTTTGACCCCTGTGTGACACAGAGTGTTGGACTGGATGGGCCATTGGCCTGGTCCAACATTGGCTTCTCTTATGTTCTTATGGATAAACATATGGAGCAGAGATCCATCGGTGGCTATTAGCCACAAGGTATACATGGGAACTCTCGGTCTGGGGCAAGGGATTCTCTGTATTCTTGGTGCTTGGGGGGGGCAACAGTGGGAGGGCTTCTAGTGTCCTGGCCCCACTGCTGGACCTCCTGATGGCACCTGGTATTTTTGGCCACTGTGTGACACAGAGTGTTGGACTGAATGGGCCACTGGCCTGATCCAGCACTGGCTTCTCTTATGTTCTTATGGATAAACATATGGAGCAGATTGTGTCCAATCTCCAGGTGAGGGCTGGAGATCACTCAGAATTACAACTGCTTTCCAGATGGCAGAGATCAGTTCCCCTGGAGAAAATGGTGGGCTCTGTATCCTTCTATGCTGCTGAGGTGGCCTCCGTATGACAGCCAATGTGACGTAGCAGTCAGGGCTTCAGAGCACGGGAGAGGCTGGAGGTGAAAAGCTGAAGAGTGAGGGGGAAATAAAGGTAGGTTGATGATTGGCTGGGAAGGAGATAGGGTTGCCAACTCCAGGTGGGAAATTCCTGGAGATGTGAGGGATGGAGCCTGGAGAGGGTGAGATTTCAGGAGGTGTGGGACCTTGGACAGGTACAAAGCCATAGACTCCACTCTCCAAACCAGCCATTCCCTTCTGGGGAACCATTGTTGCCAATCTCCAGGTGAGGGCTGGAGACCACTCAAAATTACATCTGTTCTTTAGGTAGCAGAGATCAGTTCCTCTGGAGAAAATGGTGGACTCAGTGTCATTATACCCTGCTGAGGTCGCCATAGCAAATTGACACTGAGTGTCCAAGGCCGGGGCACCCGCCCAGAGCCTCTTTCTAGAACTCGTTGTATTTATTTCCACAACGGGCCTTTTTCCTAGTACTGTATAAGGTGAACATTGAGAGATGAGAGAAGAATCTAAGGCTAGTGGGCTGGTGGTGAACAAAAAGGATATTGTACGATTGATCACTCTAAACGTCATTACGAAATCAGCAGGCAGGGTTGAAAATGATCTCGTGTTCGTTCAGACTTTTCTGCCTGCTTTTACCAATCAGCTGAATTTTTTAGGCACCTTGAAAGTATGTGGCGTATATGAAGTCAACCTAATGTTTTCCTTTGGATCAAAATACATTCAGGAATACAGAATCCAGCATAATCTATTTGAGGGGGAAAATTCCTTTCTGTTGTGCGCAGAATGGATTATGCTATCAGTTTATACACATCTCTGACGAATATCATGCGCTGCTAGCTTCTTGTGCCTGGAGCACGTCCATGCGGTCCATGTGGCATCTTGCCTCCAGAATCAAGACGGAGGATTGTTGCCAGCGTGAAGACTGATTTTTGTTTGTTCATTTGCATTACCGTTTTTTTTTTGTTTTGTTTTTTTTTGCTGGACCGTTCGTGACCACTGGGAGATAAGAATAAATGGTTTGAAAGGTTGTTGAGAGAGAACTTCCCCTCAGTTTGTCCATACGGCGTACCAAGTCTGACTTCTTGGGAATGTTTTTGGCTGCCAGTGAAGGACCCCACTGGTGGACCTCTTGATGGCACCTGGTATTTCTGGCCACTGTGTGACACAGAGTGCTGGACTAAATGGGCCTTTGGCCTGATCCAACATTGGCGTCTCTTATGTTCTTATGACAAGATCAATGGGCGGGTTAACAGGCTCAGATTCTGAAAATCTGAGAGGAAATAGAAGATCCCGGTGATCCACAGTTAGAAGAATGTGTGTCTGAAGGTACTACAATGTCAAGCCTGTCTATTAGCAGTGACTGAAGTTTATACACAAAGTAGTACCAGAAGAAGATGGATGTGATTTTGGTTTGGACAAACATGAAGCAGCAGAAATGGGGGAAACAATCCTTTGACATAGATTGGGGTCCCCAAGCTTTTTTGAGCCTGGGGGCACCTTTGGAATTCTGACACGGTGTGTTGGGCGCAGCCACAAAACGGCTGCCACAAAATGGCTGCCACAGGGAGGCGGAGCCAGTCACAAAATGACTCCCACAGCTTTACTTCAATCACTCAGTGAAGATCCTTGTACTGTGGTGGCAGCTGCTGCCAAAGTCAACATTTTTGAAAATTTGCACAGCCAATAAAATCTCCAGTAGCCAATCAGAAGCCTTGCTGGGCAAAAGCCCCTTCCTGTCCACTTTCTTAAAGCACTTGGTGGGCTGCCCACATTGGGGACCCCTGACTTAGATGCAAGTGAATGATTCAGAAGAGGTGTCCCATCTTCATAATCCTGTACCAGAAGACAATTGGAATAAATAATTATCCTATGGCATTGTGTGCAGAATAGCCAAGAGATCCTGAGATTGTCTGGCAGCCACAAGTTCTAGCTCTTTCCATTATTCTAGTGGCAAGTTAGACTTGTTTTGTGTAGAATAGCCAAGAGATCCTGAGATTGTCTGGCAGCCACAAGTTCTAGCTCTTACCATTATTCTAGCGGCAAAGCTAGACTTGTTTTTAAGGGCTGAGGGAGCTCTGTAGGAACTATGACTGGCCCAAGGTCACCAAGCTGACTTTATGTGAAGGAGTGGGGAATCGAACCGGGTTCTCCAGATTAGAGTCCGCGTCTCTTAACCACTACACCAAACTGGTTCTCTAGACAACTGGAAACACAATGTGAAACTACCAAGCAACATATCTTACTTATTTTTTTTCCTGTAGAGCATACAGACCTCAAAAATATTTCTCCCAGTCCATGCTCTTAATGACCAATGAAAGTCCACCTGTCCAGTTCAACTGAATCTGCCCTCATTGCTGTCTTTGTGCAGTTGCTGTTCTCTGTTATAAGAAAACTCCTAGGGGGGGAAAAAAGTCGAGACCTGAGCCGAGATTCACCACTAATCTATGCTCTGTTAGCTCCTGCTGCTATTAAACAATATTTTCTCTCCTCCATCCCGAGGAAGGTGTGGATGAGGAGGAGAAAGTGGAGGTAATGTGTATGGCGTTACGAAAGAGTCTACTTCTCTGTATTCTCTGACGCTTTCTATCAAACTGTATGCTTTTGGATTCTGTTGTCTACTCTATGCGTGTACAAGTTCTCTGAAAGAACTGTGACCGGCCCAAGGTCACCAAGCTGGCTTCATGTGGAGGAGTGGGGAATCGAACCTGGTTCTCCAGTTAAGCGTCCTCTGCTCAGCTCTTAACCACGACACCAAACTGGCTCTCTAGACCACTGAAAACACAATGTGAAAACACTTTTTCCCCCTGTAGAGCATACAAACCTCAGAAATGATTCTCCCACTCCCGTGGTCTTAACGACCAATGAAAGTCCACCTGTGCAATTCAATAGAATCTCCCCTCATTGTTGTCTTTGTGCAGTTGCTGTTGTCTGCTATAACAAAACTCCTAGGGGGGTTAATATTTTCCTTCCTCCATCCCATGGAAAGTGTAGTGGTGGAGGAGAAAGTGGACGCAATGTATACAATGTTAAGAAAGAGTCTACTTGTCTGTATTCTCTGAAACTTTCCATCAAACTGTATGCGTTTGGATGTTACCACCGTTTGTCTGTTGTCTACTCTATGCGTGTACAAGTTCTACTTTATCGTTTGCTGTTGTGTTCTGTGGCCGCGTGGCCTATTGCAGATGGCTAAATCAATGGATGGAGAACATCTGTGTTCAGTTGAAGATCGCTGTAATGCGTTCCAAAAAAGCATGGCTCTGGTTATGATTATTTTCGTATTTTTGGCTCTCCTTTGGCCCATGCTGGCAATAGGCAGTGGGGTGAAATGGGACCTTGTAGTTCCATTTCTGGCACCCATTTTGCATTCCTTTGAATCCTCGCAACAGCTTGCAGGAAAACAAAGTGCTCATGCATTTTCTTAGTTTGACGTTTCACCTTCTGCCTCTTAGTTCTGCCGGTCGCTATCGAACGAGAACTGCAGAACAGGGAAACGAAGGAAGGAAGCAAGGTCCGACTCTCCTGTGAGCTTAGCAAACCGGACCTGCCGGTACAGTGGACGAAAGGAAACGAAGTTCTACAAGAGGGCGACAAGTATGAATTTAAGCAGCGGGGCACCGTGGCAGAGCTCGTGATTCGGGACGCAAAGCCCACCGATGCAGGAGAATATACTTGCAGCACTGGCGAGCTCAAGACAACTGCTCGTCTCGAAGTCACGGGTAGGCGGAATGCACCCTTTTGCCGTTCTCAGTTGTGTTACGCCCACTGTGTACTCTTTGCAAGTCGTTGGTGCTTGTTTCTCATTCCACAGGTCGGTTGTATGTTAGGACACACAAGCCTAAGTGTAACAGGTCTCATCACTAGTGTTTGGAAAGGGGCGACCGAGTCCTTCATCGTGTACTGAGCATGTGCAAAGAGGCCCAAGATGGTGGCACTGATGTACAAGGGAACAGTGCCTATAGTATGCTTGTTATCTAAAGTGGTGGATCTCCATTTTGAGGCCTTATTGGAAGACTTCCAAGGAAGCCAGACACCTGGGTAGAGTCGTAATTGGTTGACTTGTGTCTGGACTGCAGGCAGCAATCCTTTGTACAGAAATATTCTCTGCCCGTAGAAAGCTCGATATCAGGGAGATATCTTGTCTTTTCCCTCGGGTGTTAGTTTTCTATATGCAGGGAGGATTAGATCTTAGAGTCCACCATCGCCCAGCTATAAAACCTCTTGTCTCTTGCTGCCTACTGGGTGATCTTGTTTGCATGTGGCTCTAAGTGTCTGTACGGCATTTATGCCCAGTGTTTTAATTGTCGTCCCTTCCCCTCCAACCTGGTTGTGCATTTTAGCGGCACCGGTCCTTTTTAAGGAAGAGCTCAAGGATGTGGAAAAGGAAGAGGGGGACGCCGTAACCCTCCGCTGTGTCCTTGCCAAATCCGACTCTTCTGTTTCCTGGAAGAAAGGGACGACCGTCCTCCGGTCTGGTGAGAAGTACGAGATGAAGCAGGAGGGGTGTGTGGCGGAAATGGTCATTCACGATGCAGAGCCGGAGGACGCCGGGAGATATTTCTGTGTCACCGGAGAGCAGCAGACAACAGCGCAGGTCAAAATCCACGGTAGGGCGAATGGAGGTGTTTTCGTCTGATCTCTTTTCTTTCTCCCCCATTATTTTTATCTTGCCTCTTTCTCTAGAGCCTCTCGGCTTGCTGAGGTTGACCTGTGAAAATGTAATACGGAATCGATCCATCTCACTGGAGAGTTCAGGGTGTTGAACCCTTGCCTTTGGCCAATGGTCATGGTCATTCAGTAGCGTGGCCCGTAATCTGGACTTTAGTATTATTCCCATCAGAAGCAAGTCTGCCTGCACTGTGGCGTGCTAAAAAGTTTCATGGTGACCGTGGTCCTTTCCGCATTTGCCTGCCATTCTGGATTTTCTCAGTTCTCGAGTCGAGGCAATTTAAGTCCAGGGCAAAACAGCTTCCCAATAACTTGGGGCAGCAGCAGGCTAAAACTGGGCTGACCACTGAAGGGAAGTGATGTAATGGAGAATGGGGGGGGGGAACTGCAATAAAAAGAAGGATGAATTCGATTTTAGTGCAGAATGGGGGTGGGAAACTGGATTAAAAAAAGTTTGGATTCGGTTTTAGTGCGGAATTGCTCGGAGGACACCGCAGTGGACATGGATTAAAACAAGGGTGCGAAAAGGGCCAGCGAGTGGCCATACTAGAAGAAGAAGAAGAAGAGATTGGATCTATACCCCCGCCCTTCACTTGGAGTCTCAGAGCGGCTTACCAACTCCTTCCCCTTCCCCTCCCCACAACAGACACCCTGTGAGGTGGGTGGGGCTGAGAGAGCTCTGACACAAACTGCTCTTTTTCAAGGACAGCTGTGCCAGAGCTTGTGACTGACCCAAGGTCACATCAGCAGGTGCAAGTGGAGGAGTGGGGAATCAAACCCGGTTCTCCCAGATTAGAGTCCACACACTTAACCACCACACCAAACTGGCTCTCCTTAAAGTCTCTTTATAACATGTGCTCTTATCAGAACTACGGCTTGCCCAGGGTCATCCAGCAGGTGCAAGTGGAGGAGTGGGGAATCAAACCCGGTTCTCCCAGATTAGAGTCCGCGCACTTAACCACCACACCAAACTGGCTCTCCTTAAAGTCTCTTTATCTTGTACTTGTGCTCTTATCAGAACTACGGCTTGCCCAGGGTCATCCAGCAGGTGCAAGTGGAGGAGTGGGGAATCAAACCCGGTTCTCCCAGATTAGAGTCCGCGCACTTAACCACTACACCAAACTGGCTCCAAAGACCAAGCAGAGCTTCTGGTTTCCGTTGTCTGAGCAGCTCAGGGCTGAACTACATGTTACACTATAGACCGGTCTGCCCCACACTCTTCAAAGACGGTCAAAGAGGGCAAAGATTCGTTCTTTGCTTCCCCCCAAAAGGCAAGACAAGATGTAATGGGCTTAAATTGCAGGGAGGTAGATTGGAGTTGAACTTTAGGGGAAACGTCCTAATGATAAGAGGCGTTTCAGAGGGTAGCCGTGGTGATCTACATTAGAACAAATAGATTCGCGTCTAGCGGCACCTTAGAGACCAACAGGATCTTCGAGGTATGACCCTTCTGAGAGTCAAAGGTCCCTTTGTTAGATATCTGATGAAGAGAGCATTGATTCTAGAAGAAGAAGAAGAAGAAGAAGAAGATGAAGAAGAAGAAGAAGAAGAAGAAGAACAAGAAGAAGAAGAAGAAGAAGAAGAAGGAGAAGAAGAAGAAGAAGAAGAAGAAGATGAAGAAGAAGAAGAAGAAGAAGAAGAACAAGAAGAAGAAGAAGAAGAAGAAGAAGGAGAAGAAGAAGAAGAAGAAGAAGAAGATGAAGAAGAAGAAGAAGAAGAAGAAGAACAAGAAGAAGAAGAAGAAGAAGAAGAAGGAGAAGAAGAAGAAGAAGAAGAAGAAGAGGAGATTGGATTTATACCCTGCCCTTCACTCAGAGTCTCGGAGCGGCTTACAATCTCCTTCCCTCCCTCTCCCCCCAACAGACACCCTGTGAAGTAGGTGGGGCTGAGAGAGCTCTTTGAGAACTGCTCTTGAGAGAACAGCTCTGAGAGAACTGTGGCTTGCCCGAGGTCACCCAGCGGCTGCATGTGGAGGAGTGGGGAATCAAACCTGGTTCTCCCAGTTTAGAGTCCACGCTCCTAACCACTATACCCAACCAGCTCAAAGGCTCATAGTCAAAAAATTTTGTTGGTCTCTAAAGTGCTACTGGACTCAAATCTGGTCATAATAATAACAACAGCAATTTGATAATAGCACTGATTACCGGGGGAATGGGCTCGTTCTTGCTGGAAGTCTCCAAGCAGAGGTTGAACTACTGTCTCTTGAGAATGCTCTAGCTTTGGGTTTCTATCAGTGAGGAGGGGGTTAGATTGGATGGCGTATAAAGCTTCATCCGCTGTAGGACTCTGCATGGCCCGTAGCCACAGAGGTGAGGGATTCACAAGTTGATTTGAAGTAACCAGATGCATCTATGGCTTCAGGCCTCTTGAGTCACCTTCCGATGCTAGGCCGGCCAGCGAAGCTCATCTAAAAACATCCTTCTATCCTTTAGCTGTGCCTGCCCGTTTCAAAGAACCGCTGAAGAACATGGAAGCCGTGCAAGGGGGATCAGTCACTTTGTGCTGCGAGCTGAACAAGTCCGCTCCAGTGGAGTGGATGAAGGGGCGCAAAGGCCTGAGGCCCAGCAGCAAATACAGGATGAAGAAAGAAGGGGCCGTGGCCGAGCTGACCATTCAAGATCTGGACCTGAAGGATGCTGGGGATTACACCTGTGCATCTGGAGACCAAAAGACAACAGCTGTCTTAACGGTGAACGGTAAAAATTCGTCACTGTCAGTCTTTCGGAGCGGTTCCTTCACCTTTTTCTTTCTCTCTTAGGAAAAATCGACTTTTGAGACTACCCCTCCTTTGCTTTGATCTTTTCTGTCAATTGGCATGAAGCTCCTAGTTTATTCTCTTCTCTGATCCCTCAGGGTGCTAGGTATCTCCTTACTACGTGTGAATGTTGACATACTGCAGAAAGGTCTTGGCAAATGACAGCAGCCATGTGTAAGAATGCATTATGGTGCATTCTGTTCTTCTGCTCCACATTAAAACAAGGCTGATGCAGGTGCATCTTCTTGTGTTATTTTAGCTGTTTCTGGGTTAGTTTTTGGGGTTTCGATAGACATTCCCAAATGTTATTACGGAAGAGAGCAGATTTTGTAGAAAGCCTATCATGGGAAGTAGCAGCCTTTAAAGTCTAGACTAGCCCAATCTTGTCAGAGCTTGGAAGCTAAGGAAGGTCAACCATGGTCAGTACTGGGATGGAAGACCACCAAGGAATGCCAAGGTTGCTATGCAGAGGAAGGCAGTGGCAAACCACCTCTGCTCCTCTCTTGCCTTGGAGACCCCACACAGTGGAAAGTCATGGGGGTTGCCTTTGCAACTTGATGGCATGCTTTACTGTTATCCCTTGGGAAGGGTGGTCCCTCGTAACAGAACACTGATTTGCCCAGTGCAGCCACTTGCCAAAGAGCGAGGCTCCCCCTTAGCTCCGGTGCCCGTTGACCCAGTGTTTGTCCATTCTGCGTCCCTCAGCCCTGGCGGCGCAGTTCAAAAAAGAGCTCAAGGACGAGGAAGCGACCGAGAGCGGGACGGCCACTCTGCACTGCGAGCTGACCAAGGCCGTCGACTCCGTCGAGTGGATGAAGGATCAGAAGGTGCTGAAGCCCAGCGACAAGTTCAGGATGAGGATAGAAGGACGTTTTGCCGAGCTCACCGTCCAAGACCTGGAGTTGACGGATGCTGGAAGCTACACCTGTGTGTGCGGAGACCAGAAGACCACTGCGGCTTTGAAAGTGAATGGTAATAAAATCTATGTCCATAGTAAACTCCATGGGCAAGCTTAGACAAGCGCTAAGGGCTGATGCTCCATGCCCATGCATATCTATTAGCTGGGTTTCTTTTATCCCCCTTGAAGTTCTCCCATCTTTTTATATGTGCAACAGTGCATTTCCATTTATTTTATTGCTTTGACTTTTACCCCACCCTCCCTGCTGAGGCAGGCGCAGGGCGGCTTACATAAGGAACCAGTAGCTAAAACAATACTATAAATATCAATATAAAATACATGCTAACATTATTAAAAGCATTAGCATATTGATGGCGATGTGGCTATGGTAAAGTGCATTTAGAAACATACCATCAGCGGTACATCCACTCTCTGCAGGCTCACGCTGGCAGTAAAATCAGCTCAGGGCATAGATGATGACGTGCAGCTCCTTACCTAAATGCCTGACGGAAGAGCTCCATTTTCATGGCCCTTCGCATTTTCCATGCAAAATGTCCTTGTATTTCTCCTTTTGTACTTAATGGGATATTTGGTTAACATAGCAGAGTTTGCCCAGTTGTAGACGCCTGATACTGAGTGCAGTAAATAAATTTCTCAAGAAGTATATTGCAGAACAAGGTAAGCTTACGTTTGTTCGACTAGATCTAGTTCACATTCAGGTTGCAGTCAAAAGAAGAGAAAAAAGACTAACCTAAAGAGTACGTATCCCTATCACAAACGGCCAGCTTGTCCCGCATCATGTGTGTGGGAGTATGAGGGCATCGTCTCTACGGGAGAGACCTGCAGAGATGTGTGTCTCCATGGAAGTTGAACAAGTATAAAGCCAACAGTCGTTATAGTCTGACCCACAATCAAACAGTCATAAGACTTATAAAGAATGCTGTTTATGTATTGCAATCTAAAGCACTATAACATGATACACAACGGAGACGAGCTTTATACTTGTTCAACTGATTGCGTCGTGTGTGTCAAGATTTTTTTTGTCTCCATGGAAGGCCATGTGAAGAGTGTGTGAGGACAAAGTGAAAGACAGAGGAGGGGTCAGAGAGCAACTCCCATTCAAGGAGATAACACCTACGCACTCTTAAGAGTGATGTAGTGCTCCCCAACATCCCGGCATGCTGACTCGCTCGCTCCCACAGTATTAGGCACAATGTTCTTTCTCCTGCCTAGTGCAGCCACTGCTCTTTGCTTTACGGACAATTCCCGTGCCGCTAAAATTTATTCTAGCATTTTCGTCCCCAGAACTTTGCCGCCATGTGCACGTCCCCAGTCAGCATGGAACTCTCCTGTGTGGCGATCCATCGACACCCTCGCCAGCTCTTCCAGTGGTTTTTAACCCTTTCTCTGTTCATATTGCATCCCTCAGCCTTGCCTGTTTTCTTCCAAGAAGAGCTCAAAAACACAGAGCTGACGGAGGGTGAGACAGCCGCGTTGCATTGCAGGCTGAGCAAGGCCGCCCCGGTGGAATGGCAGAAAGGGCACAGGGCGATCAAGCCAGGTGGCAAATACCAAATAAAGCAGGAGGGGGAGTCTGCTGAGCTGGTGATCCGTGACTTGGAGGGGACGGATTCGGGAGAATACACTTGTACTTGCAGCGGGCAGAAGACGAGCGCGACCCTGACAGTGAACGGTAAAGAAAGAGATGCAAACAGTGTGTGTGCTTTGAACCGTTTCACAAATAGATTTCCACCCGAAAAGAAGAGTCAAAATGAGGAGGAATGTCCATTGATTTTGATTGCAATTTAAACACCTGAAAACAGTTAGGCCAAACTTAGCCTGTCCAAAATGGACTGCTTTCTAAACTCAATAAGGAAGTACATGAAATTTTATACCCAGAGTGACATAGCTAAGAAGATAACATTCAGGTTTCATCATCGGTCACAAAATTACAAACTCCATACTTCAAGCAAATACCTCTATTGAAAAACCTATCTTCTGCTGTACCAGCAAAATAATGTTGTTTTCTTGTCTGCTGGCATCAGCAAAAAAAAAAAAAAGATACTCTAACCTACAAGGGAGAGGCCTTACTATTTAATAGGCTTTCATGACATCCTAATAAAATCTTAATAGGAGAAAAATCCATAAAATCAGAAAAAGATGAATAATCTAAATAGGAAAAAAAAATCATCATATTCCCATTCATACTACAAAACCAAACTGTGCATCCCTAGACTTGTCTTTCGGTTCCCTCCTGATATTAAACACAGTGCCACACCTCCTGATATCACATATCAAAGCATGTGCCTGATTTTCCTTTTAAACCTAATTTGCGTATTCATTTTGGCCCTCGGGGTAAGAGAAGGCACCTCTTCGATTAATGTTTTCCTTGGATCCTTGACAAACTTACAGGCTTATAAACGTTGGGAGACTGTCTATGATCTTTGTAATATAATATTTTTTAAATTTTATTTCCTGAATAACAGATTATGGTATTACCTCTCATTGCTTCTCCAGGGCCCAGAAATCTCAGTTTAGTGATGTTGGCTAGAGCTAGTTGTACACGGAGAAAGGGAGGGAGACTGTAGGAGAAAAGTCCGCACAAGGCTGGTTGCTTTAGGGGAAAAATGGAGGTTCTTTATTGCTAAAGAAACCCATTAGAATTCCCTGACCCCCCCAGGGGATGGGGGTCCCCGCTGCCAACCCTCACCTCTCCGTCACTAATCTGCTGGCCAGTGGGGGGGGGGGTGGCTTACCTCCCCCCAAAAGAGAGGAACACCTGACCTTTTGGCAACATGTCTGCATGGCTTCAATGTGACCCGGAAGTGACGTAGGCATGTCGAGGGTATCAGGGCCAAGTTCTGGTTTCCCCCCAAAAAACTCTATGGTAGAAGCTAATTCTACCATAGAGTTTTCGCCCCAAAACCAGAGCATCATGTTGGAAGTCATGGGGACATCGCTGAAATGTCGGATACTGAGAAATGGAGGATATCAGCCCCGCGCATGGCAGCCCCCACCTCTCTCTCAACTAGACCCTTTAAAGCAGCGGTGTCGAACTCATTTGTTACGAGGGCTGGATCTGACATAAATGAGACCTCGTTGGGCCGGGCCATGTGTGTCATAAAATGTAATGCCAGGTAGCGGAGATATAAACTTTATAAAGGACACAAACACAAAGGGTTGTTTTTTTACTTAAAACCCATGCTTAAAACATCAGCCCTCTTGCACTATTTTGTTTATATGACAGTGTCTGATCACTGACACCTCTTCCTCTGAATTATCGCATCAAAATGTCTCTGCTGTTGCAATCCTGAGTAGGCTGTTCAGGTGTGTATCCGTAAGCTGCAAACCTACGGTGACGCATCAGCACCAGAACTGGAAGAAGAAGCAGAAGACAGCCAGTTCCACTGTGGGCCTGATAGAAGCCCTCCAGGGGCCCGATCTGGCCCCCGGGCTGCATGTTTGACACCCCTGCTTTAAAGGGTCTTTTTGTGACCTGTGGCCTGTGACTACCAATCTCCTTCCCTCCTGCTAGATTTAAAAGACTCTCTAGCTGATCGGCAGGCCACGTGGTCCACCGCCGATCAGCTGAAGTCATTTAAATCTGGCAGGAGTGGAGGGAGAGGAGTGTTGGGCAGGGGGTTGCACTTGGGTGTGGGGCTTGGGTGTGGGGCTTGGGGGTGCCCCCATCCACCCCGAAACACCCCCCAGATCCTCTTGTTGGAGCGAGGAGGGGACCTGGCAACCCTCACTCAAACTTTGTTAAGAAAGGAACAAGTTTGTGGTTCTGTCCGTGTCTCCATTCTGATGTGCCCCCTGTCCCCTATTGCATTCATTCTGCAGTCCTCCCTACCCTTTTCACCAAGCCCCTGAAGGACGAGGAAGCCACGGAGGGCAAGAGCGTCACTCTGCGCTGTGAGCTGAACAAAGCCTCCGCGGCCGTCGAGTGGAAGAAAGGACACAAGACCCTCAAGCAGGGCAGCAAATACAAAACGAGGCGCGAAGGCGCCGTCGTTGAGCTGGTCATCCAAGCCCTGGAAGTATCAGATTCTGGAAGTTACAGCTGTGTGTCCGGAGAACAGCAGACCGTGGCATCTTTAGAAGTCAAGGGTAAACCGAAATCCTTCCCTAGTTTCCCGCTGCTGCTCTGGGTAGATTTCCACGCTTTCCCCCGTCTCGTGGATCGGCTCGCACCCTCGGTCATCACGGCACGGAGCTAATGTTCTACAGATTAACCAATAGTACAGAAGATCCTTTCCCCCTCTAGAATATGTTTCTTCATTTTCACTGAACACCCAAACCTTGCAAGGTTTTGATAGTCTGGAATGAGATTCTGGAATTTGCATCAACTGGAATTATTATCCTCTCTGGAGTTATGATCCTCTCCCGTTCCCGTGTTAAAAACTTCCTTGTCTTGTCTTTAAGGGTGCTTAAACCCCCAGAAAAATTTGAGGCGGCAGCAAGGACATAGGATCTATTTCATTATTTTACTGGGGGGGGGGGGACACAGCGAGGGCTAACGTCTCTACTACCTGCCAATTTAAATCCATGCCTTTAAAAAAGGATTTGAAGAAAGTGATTCTTGGGTGGAGCATTCCACTGTAATGGGGCAGGGCATCCCATGAACTGTAAGCTCAGAAAGTTCTCTGAAGCCATGATGGATGGAAAGGTGTCTTTAGTAGACTGGAGGTAGGTCAAGATGGGTGGCCGTGTTAGTCTGTCTGTAGAAACAGACAAGAGCAAGAGTCCATCCAGGAGCACCTTAAAGACTAAGGAAATTTGTGGCAGGGGATGAACTTTCATGAGACACTGCTCACTTCTTCAGAGATGTATCTGAAGGCCTGGAAAAAACCTGGGAAAATTTGGGGGAAAAACGTCCCCCCCCATTTTTTTCCTGAGGCCTTTTTTGTTTCCCCCCGAAAAATGGGAAAAATCGAAAAAAGAAAAGAAAAGAAAAAAAATGGATTATAGAACATTTTATTTTAACATTAGTACTAAAATATTTTAAGACAAGGTGTTCAAATATTTTCCAAATCATTTCTAAAAAATATGTACGGTATCAGATTGATCTAATTTCTGTGCACTGAGGACAAGAGAGTCCTAGGTTACAAACTGAACTCTCCAATGCAAGAACAAGATGAATTTCTTCCTTTAGGTGCTATTGTCACAAGAAAAGAAAAAGGTTTCAGTTTTGTTTCTGCATGTGGGAGGGTATTCCGTTTGTAATAATGGTTTGGATATACTATATTTTTAAGATGCTCGTTGTGATAATTTCATGCCAAGTAAAAATGTCCATAGTCATATTTTATGTTCCTAAAGTAACAGAATGACTTTCAATCTGGAAAAGAAAAAAGAAGTGCTAATGTAACATTTTTTTCAATTTTTCCAAAAATTTCCGTTCCCCCCCCCCCCAAAAAAAAACCCGGGGAAAAATGGATTTTTTTTTCTGGACTTCAAAATTTCTGGAAATTTTACATCTCTACTCCTTTGGTATCTGAAGAAGTTTTTTTTTTAATTAATTAAACTTTTATTGATAACACGTAATGAGTAACATACATAGCTGAGAAATAACCAATACAATATAATACAGTATAATGCAACTACACAACATTACCCAGTATGTTAACAGCTTTTACAATAAACAAGCAACTTAGAAAAGTTGTAGTGACTTAACTCCAAAGGATGACTTTATGTAGATATACATATAAATATGCTGGCTATAACATAGGATGTTTACAAGAATTTGATGGGATCGTGAATGTGACAGCATTAAAAAAATCAGATGATAGACTGAGTGTATCCACTTTTGAGGAATCTAGAGATTTGAGTAGGGTATCTTCAGATGCAGCTAGAAACGAGTACCATTTCTCCATAAAAGGCCTATGATCTGGCTCAGTTTGATGTTGGGCTTCCTAGTCAGATATTTTGTGTGAGATAAAATAGTCCCAAACCTTATTATAAAGGTAAAGGCTCCCTTGCTCGAAAGCCAGTCGAATCCGACTCTAGGGTTGCGGTGCTCATCTCCGTTTCAAAGCCGAAGAGCCAGCGCTGTCCGAAGACGTTTCCGTGGTCATGTGGCCGGCATGACTAAACACCAAGGCGCACGGAACACTGTTACCTTCCCACCGAAATGGTACCTATTTATCTACTTGCAATTTCTTGCTTTTGAACTGCTCGGTTGGCAGGAAAACCTTATTATACCACTGCTCAATTGACGGGACCGATGGACTTTTCCAACATATTGCAATATTATTTTTGGCTGCTGTGAGTAGCACTGCAATCAATTCCTTATCGTTGGCAGAGGTTTGCGATTTGGGCCATAAATTAAAAAATATTAAGGCTGGGTCTTAAGGGAACTTTTCTGGGTATCTGAAGAAGTGAGCAGTGACTCATGAAAACTCATACCCCGCCACAAATTGTGTTAGTCTTTCAGGTGCTACTGGACTCTTGCTCTTTAGTACACTGGAGTTAAGGTATCCCGTGTGTCACCTTGACTCTCTCTATTCGTGCCAAGCTGCACTCATCGTCTAAATTCCGCATCCCTTCTCTCCATCCTTGGGTTTCATTCCTTCCAGGGGAAAAGGCTGTCCAGGGAGTTTTGGGGAACAAATACTTCCCAAGTAAGCAGGGCTCTTTTTGTAGAAAAAGCCCAGCAGGAACTCATTAGCATATTGGGCCACACCCCTGACAGCACAGCTCATTAGCACATTAGGCCACACCCCCATGTTACCAGAAGTGTGGTTTATCCAGCCACACCCACCTTTTGCTTCTTATTCTGGTTACCTTGTTTGTTGTTAAAACCCAGGGCCTTTTTTTTGCAGCAGGACCTCCTTTGCATGTTAGGCCACACACCCCTAACGTAGCCAATCCGAATGGGTTTCTGCTGTTGGGTGTGGCCTGTTATGCTAATGAGTTTCTGCTGGGCGTGGCCAACTCGGGAGCCAGCCGGAACTCCGTTCCTGTGCGTTCCTGCCCAAAAATAACCCTGCAAGTAAGTCTTTTGCAAGTCACTGACTGGTGGGAATCCAGCAGTTGCTGGAAGGGCTTTCAGCAGGCAATGGATTCAAGTCCCTTTCTCCCCACCACTTACTTCTGCACTCTCTCCTTATTGCCGTCTTCCCAGCCCTGCCTGTGCTATTCAAAGAAGGACTCAAGAACAGGGAGGCCGTAGAAGGCTCCACGGCCACCCTGCGTTGTGAAACGACCAAAGCTGGGGCTGACGTGAAGTGGAGGAAGGGGGCCGAGACCCTCAGGCCGAGCAATAAATACCGAATGAAGCAGGAAGGCGGTGAAGCTGAACTGCTGATCCGCGATCTCCAGGCAGAGGACACGGGAGATTACACCTGTGTTTGCGGAGACCAGAAGACGACGGCTGTCTTGACCGTCCACGGTAACCAATCGCTCCCGTTTACAGTAATGATGTTTCAGGATATGTCCTCGCTGTGGAAATCCCTGTCTCTCTGTTACTTTGGTGTCTTATTTTTCCAATTTGGTTCCTTTAGCTCTGTCTGTTTCCTTTCCGGTTGCTTGCTAACGGTCGTCGTTCTATGTGTTTGTGTCTGGTGCCAGGGAGCGTCTCACAAATTCGTCCTCAATGTTTTGGTCTACCTTTATCCCAGCCGTAAACATCTGGATGTACATTATTGATCTGCAACACCAGTAACTCTCAGTCTGGAGCAAGTGATGCTCTGTATTCTTGGTGCTTGAGGAGGGGTCAACAGTGGCTATAACAGTTAAAAATTCATTATTTTTAAAAGCTGTGTTTGTTTGACGTAGAGAGAGTTCCATCTTTCTGTGTTATACCTCTGAGGATGCCAGTCACAGCTACTAGCGAAACGTCAGGTCCTATAATGCGAAGACTACGGCCACACAATCTGGAAAATCTACAGCAGTCCTGGCCCCACTGCTGGACCTCCTGATGGCCCCTGGTATTTTTGGTCACTGTGTGACATAGAGTGTTGGACTGGATGGGCTATTAGCCTGATCCAACATGGCTTCTCTTATGTTCTTATGTTCTCTTATGTTCAGTAGTATGCTGGAGAAATGCAATGGTGGGCTACAGTGGGGCACCGAGCACCAAGGGTTTGTGGTGGTGCTTTGGAAACTCCCATATTTCTGGTTCAGCACTGGAGTGTTGGACTGGATGGGCTATTAGCCTGATCCAACATGGCTTCTCTTATGTTCTTATGCTCTGTACTCTTGGTGCTTGGGGGGGCCACAGTGGGAGGGCTTCTGGAGTTCTGGCCCCACTGGTTGACCTCCCGATGACACCTGGGTTTTGGCCACTGTGTCTCACAGAGTGTTGGACTGGATGGGCCATTCGCCTGATCCAACATGGCTTCTCTTATGTTCTTATGCTCTGTATTCTTGGTGCTTGGGGGGGCCACAGTGGGAGGGCTTCTGGAGTTCTGGCCCCACTGGTGGACCTCCCGATGACACCTGGGTTTTGGCCACTGTGTCTCACAGAGTGTTGTACTGGATGGTCCACTGGCCTGATCCAGCATGGCTTCTCTTATGTTCTTATATTCTTAGGAGACGCCAGGGATTGAACTTGGGTCATTGCACATGCAGAACAGATACTCTACAACTGAGACCAAGCTGCTTCCCCAAATAGGACTCTTTTAACAATATAATAAAGCCAGATCTTGAACCGAGCTGGCAAGAATTGATCTTTCGATCTACTATCCATGTTTGGGTTTTCTGCTCTTTTCTGCTAGTCGCATCCTTCTCCTTGAACCCTTCTTTGTTTCTTCACAAATTACCTCTTGTGTATACATCTTGCGTATCAAGATGTCATGTTGGGCTGGTCTGTCCCTCAACATATCAACATAAATTGCGTACCAATGGTTCCATGGTCGCTAAAAAGCCTTTTTCTGTGGCATCTACCAGAGCCACCATTCCACTCTTATCTTATGTTATTCTTCCCTACTTTGTGCCTTGCATGAAAACATCTGTAGATGCAGCCTCATTCTTGCTCATGGCAACCGGCCCACTCAGCTGTACGAGATATTAACCCAGGGCAAATGGTTGTGGCTTTCAGTTAGTCAAGCGGTCATTATTCCCCATGAGGAATCTTTATTTGTTGATTTGGAAGGTCTCGTAGCAGCCCTAATATCCTAATCTAGCCCAGTCTCATCAGAACTTGGAAGATAAGGTTGGCCGTGGTCAGTACTCATATGGGAGACCACTACGGAAGGCCAGGGTTGCTATGCAGAGGAGGCCATGTCAAACCACTTCTGCTCATCTCTTGCCTCAGAAACCTCATGCGGTGGACCTTCATGGGGTTGCTGTGAGTCGGCTGAGACTCAATGGCCCATGATACCTTTATGGATGGAAGATCGTAGGAGCCCAAGCTTCACCAATGTAGGATGTGTTGGGAAACAGCTTTCATTCCAGTGGTCCAGTTTTATTTATTTATTTATTTATTTAGTTAGTTAGTTAGTTATACTTTCAATTTGTACCCTGCTCACCCCCCGGAGGGCTCTGAGCGGCTTACACAGTGCATGGTGCAGAGACCTATGCAAAAACCCTAACTATGTCCACAGTAAGTCTCGGGGGTGGGGGAGGCCCTACCAGGTACTCTCCAGGCTCCGATCGTTCGTTTATCCGGCGAGTGAGCGACTTCTTCCAGCTCTCCGGTGCGGCTTCCGCGGCCTCCGCTGTTCTTCTCCGGCTCTCTGGTGACTCCTCTCGGGGGCAGTTGGTTATGGGCCCCGGTGCGCAGCCGCGGTGGGCGTCACAACGTCCTTTGCGGCTCCGGACGTCCTCCTGCTGGCCACATCATCAGCTGCCGAGCCAACCGCCTCCTTGGGATGTCGCTGCCTCTCTTCATCACCTCCGTGCTGACCACCGCCGTGTTGCTGCCGCTTCTCGATTCCTCGCTCGGCTGGAGCCCAATTTTGAGGGAGGGGTACCCCCCTGTCCTCCTACGGACAGGTACCCCTTTACCTAATTGCCCCAAGGGGCTTTTGGACTGCTGGGTTGGCAGGAGCTGGGGCGAGGGTCGGGAGCTCACCCCGACCACGGTGGTATTCGAACCACTGTTGCAGCTGTTCGAGATGACTATTTCTACAGGCATTTAACTGCCTGTGCCACCGCCCAGCTGCCAACTCATCACCGCATTTGATAATACAGAAGACAACTTCTTGATGAATGGTTCAGGGAACAGCTTGTTCGGCACGCAGTGAAGTTCAGCTTTGGGAAAGCAGTCGTTTCAAACGAGAGCTATTGTAGAAATGTTGTTTAGACGGATCTCACAGGTTTAATTTTATGACCTGGCTGTTTTCACCTGCCCCTTTACATGGACGTTTCAAGGGCCTCTTGTTTCCATGAACACTAGCCAGGAAGCAAACGCCACTTCCTCTTTCCATTAGAAACAGCCATCCCTTTACAGAGCATAGTTGTGTTTACTTGACAAACACAACTGGCAAAAGACCAAGGAAGAAGAAGAAGAGGAGGAGGAGATTGGATTTGTACCCCGCCCTTCACTACTTGAAGGAATCTCAGAGCGGCTTACAAACTCCTTTCCCTTCCCCTCCCCACAACAGACACCCTGTGAGGGAGGTGGGGCTGAGAGAGCTCTGACAGAAACTGCTCTTTTTCAAGGACAGCTGTGCCAGAGCTTGTGACTGACCCAAGGTCACATCAGCAGGTGCAAGTGGAGGAGTGGGGAATCAAACCCGGTTCTCCCAGATGAGAGTCCGCTCACTTAACCACGACATCAAACTGACATTTCAGAAGTTGGCCTTTTGGGCAAGTCTTGCGCAAAACGAAATCAGAGCTTAGAAATTTCTGAGGTGAAAAGTGACATCTTATTAGAGGAATGCTTTGTGCTGACTCAGCAGGCTTATAGCGAGTCGGGGAAATAGCCAACATTCCTGTAGCGGCAGTTGCCATTCAGCCATGTCTGCCAGCGGACATAGGCAAAGTGATCCTAACCCAGCCCCTCCTACCAGAATCATCTAGGAGAGCTCAATTTGTCAAGTGCTCTTGGAAGTTACTTCAGAGGAAGTCACAGTGCAGTTACGGAGCGGTGAACCATTGATCGGTCACCCTTGGTAACCTGAAGGCTTGGCAGAATGCGCGAACAACACAACAGCTTTGCTCGTTGATCATTTTTGCATTCCAGGGTGCAAAATAGCTAAGGTGGATGCTTTCACTGGAAAGTTCAGACGATACCACAAAGTGCACAACTTGAAGACACCCAAGTGTCAGCCCTGTTTTAACTGTGTTTTTAGGGTTATATTCAATTATTTGCCTTCTTCATATATTTTCGCCTTATTCTCCACTTCCCATCTCTAAGACCATCTCTCAGACCTTTGAAAGTAATTCCTTAATTCTATTTTGTCAGCTAGTTGTTTACTATGTTCCCCTTTATCCTTCTTTATTGGGGCAGTGATGCTCTGTGTTCTTGGTGCTTGGGGGGCAACAGTGGGAGGACCTCTGGAGTTCTGGCCCCGCTGGTGGACCTCCTGATGGCACCTGGTTTTGGCCACTGTGTGACACAGAGGGTTGGACTAGATGGGCCACTGGCCTGATCCATTTCCACCAAATTCTTACTCCTTTTCATTATTTTTAAAAGCCGTGTTTGTTTGACACAGAGAGTGTTCCATCTTTCTGTGTTATACCTCTGAGGATGCCAGTCACAGCTACTGGCGAAACGTCAGGTCCTACAATGCGAAGACCACAGCCACACAATCCGGAAAATCTACAGCAGCTTATGTGTGTGTTCTTTTCCATTCATTCTCTCAGTTTATTCCTCTTAGTGTACTTCCAATCTGTTTGTCCATGTGGTGTTTAGTTTTATATTTTGTTTCTCTGTGTATTGCACGCTTGAAAATCCTGGCATTTCTGAATCTCAGTGTTCTCTTTTTGTGCTTATGGTTTGAAGTTTATTTTCAAAGTCTGAAATATCAAGGTTGCATAGAAATTTAAAATGCACACATTTTAAATTTTGGAACCTTTGAAAGTTTGATTATTATTATTTTTTTTGCCGTGTTATAGAGCTCTTTCAAAAACGTTTACAGTGCTTTATGTGTAGTTCTGTTGTTGGGGAAGAGACGTTGAAGGGTGTCTTCCACAAAGCACTGCTTGCTAAAGTCTCCATTGATTTGAATGAGGCTTCGACAGCAGTGGCTCTTGGTGGATTGCTCCCAGGGTTTGGATTGGAAGGGCCGTGTGACACTCTGTCTCTGTTGATATCACACCCCTCAGCTTTGCCTGCACGTTTCCAAGAAGAGCTCAAAAGCAAGGAAGTGACGGAAGGTGGATTGGCCAACCTACGTTGCGAACTCAGCAAAGCTGCACCGGTGGAGTGGACGAAAGACGGGAAGCCGCTAAAGCCCGGTGACAAATATACAATGAAACAAAAAGACACCGTCGCTGAGCTGACGGTGCATGATGTCACTGAACAGGATGCCGGAGACTATACTTGTGTGTGCGGAGATCAGAAGACGTCTGCGTCTCTAACCGTGCATGGTAAATATTACATATATGTATATGTATGAATGAGATGCTTCCATTGTGTCATAATCTGTCATTACTACATAGATATAGCCAGAGGTCATTTCGGGGGGGATCGTGGGGGATTGCAGTTCCCCCAGGTGAGTTACGGGGAGGCAGGGCACATGACGAAGCCCTGCCCCCTGCTTCCGGCCGCCCCGCTTCTGGCCCTCATTCAGCCAGGAGGAGGCAGGAGAAGAGGGAGGGTAAGTTGCTTCCTCCCTGCCTCTCCCCACCCCTGCCTGCCTGGGGCCAGGGAGGGCCTTTGCGGGGCTTCCTTGCACTCCCGCCGGCCTTGCAGGTCCACCGCCGGGCCCCTCATGGCCCCTCGGGAAGGGTTGTATAACAGCTTTTACATATTTTCAGTCTTAATTCTTTGTTTCCAGTTCTGTTGCTTTGTAGAATTCTGAGGTTAGTATCACTTAATCGCTGACACATTCTGTTAGGTTTCCTGATAAGAGTCTAATTCTCTGTAGTTCAAATTGGAGTTTCTCCAAATTTATATTATGTGTATTCATTGTTCTTGGTCTTCGAGGTTTCTTTCCACCCAGTTATAAAATAGTGTCCAGCTATTTCTTACATTTTGTTTACTGCTGTCCTTCAATAGGTTTGACAATATATCCATTTCTGCTATTCCAATTTTTTTTTGGTCAAAAGTACATTTTCTGTTGGTATCTCTGCTTTCTTCCAGTACTTAGCATATAGAATTCTTGCTGCTGTAACTACATGTATAATTAGATCTTTTACTTTCTTATCTTTTACATCAGGTATAATATTGAGCAAAAACATTTCAGGTAGCTATATGAGAGCCAGTTTGGTGTCGTGGTTAAGTGCGCGGACTCTAATCTGGGAGAACCGGGTTTGATTCCCCACTCCTCCACTTGTACATGCTGGATGACCTTGGGCAAGCCGTAGTTCTGATAAGAGCTGTCCTTGAAAAAGAACAGTTTGTGTCAGAGCTCTCTCAGCCCCACCTACCTTACAGGGTGTCTGTTGTGGGGAGGGGAAGGGAAAGGAGTTTGTAAGCCGCTCTGAGACTCCTTTGGGTAGCCAAGGGCGGGGTATAAATCCAATCTTTTCTTCTTCTTCTATACAGTCCACCATTCCAGTGTGGATTTCTGCTCTTAGTGTTATCATATTTCTTTCTACAGTTTTCATTAATGTGGTTTTTCTCAGTGTGTTACCATCAAGTTAGGTAGCCCGGTTAGTCTGTCTGTAGCAATAGAAAAGAGCAAGAGTCCAATCGGTCAAATCAGCTGGGAGGGCAGGGTATACATTGGGTAATAAAGTTGCTAGTGGATAAGACAAGAGGATCCACCTGGAGCCTTTCAACTGTGAGGACCTGTTGGATCCCAATGTGCTTTTTTGCAATCCTTAGCCCTCCCTCCACGTTTCAAAAAAGAACTGAAGAACGTGGAGGCTGCCGAAGACGGAACGGTGACCCTGCGATGTGAGCTGACCAAGGCAGCTGCTCCGGTGGAGTGGAGGAAAGGCAGCGAGGTTCTCAGGCCGAGCGACAAATACAAAATGAAGCTGGAAGGGACCCTCGCCGAGCTGGTCATCCACAGTTTGGAACTGGCCGATGCCGGAGATTACAGCTGCGCGTTTGGAGAATGGAAGACCATGGCCTCCTTGACCGTGAAGGGTACATTTAAGGAAGCCACTTTCTGTTTTTCGTTGGCAGATATAAGGCGAGCGAGTTTAGAAGAGGCTTTAAAAGGCCCTGTAGACTGTGTACGGCCAGTTTGGTGTCGTGGTTAGGAGCGCGGACTCTAAGCCAGGAGAACCGGGTTTGATTCCCTTCTCCACATGCAGCTGCTGGTGTGACCGTGGGCAAGCCATAGTTCTGTCAGAGCTGTTCTCTAATGAGCAGTCCTGGAAAGAGCTCTCTCAGCCCCACCTACCTCACAGGACACTAGAAGCCCTCCCACTATTGACCCCCCCCCCAGCACCAAGAATACAGAGCATCCCTTGCCCCAGACCGAGAGTTCCTACCTATACCTTGTGGCTAATAGCCTCTGATGGACCTCTGCTCCATATGCTTATCCATAAGAACATAAGAGAAGCCAATGTTAGATCAGGCCAGTGGCCCATCTAGTCCAACACTCTGTCACACAGTGGCCAAAAATACCAGGTGCCATCAGGAGGTCCAGCAGTGGGGCCAGGACATTAGAAGCCCTCCCACTGTTGCCCTCCCCCAAGCTCCAAGAATACAGAGCATCCCTTGCCCCAGACCGAGAGTTCCTATCTATACCTTGTGGTTAATAGCCACTGATGGACCTCTGCTCCGTATGCTTATCCATAAGAACATCAGAGAAGCCAAGGTTGGATCAGGCCAATGGCCCATCCAGTCCAACACTCTGTGTCACACAGTGACCAAAAATACCAGGGGCCATCAGGAGGTCCACCAGTGGGGCCAGGACACCAGAAGCCCTCCCACTGTTGCCCCCACCCCAAGCACCAAGAATACAGAGCATCACTTGCCCCAGACCGAGAGTTCCTATCTATACCTTGTGGTTAATAGCCACTGATGGACCTCAGCTCCATATGCTTATCCATAAGAACATCAGAGAAGCCAAGGTTGGATCAGGCCAATGGCCCATCCAGTCCAACACTCTGTGTCACACAGTGACCAAAAATACCAGGGGCCATCAGGAGGTCCAGCAGTGGGGCCAGCACACTAGAAGCCCTCCCACTGTTGCTCCCCTTCAAGCGCCAAGAATACAGAGCATCCCTTGCCCCAGACCGAGAGTTCCTACTTATACCTTGTGGCTAATATCCTCTGATGGACCTCTGCTCCATATGTTTTGGCAACGTGTCACTCTGCAAAATGGATGTTCTGCCACGTTGTCATCGCCCCGATGCTCTCTTTCTATTGGCAATCTTCTTGTTATGTCTCCCCTATATATTGTCAGTGGGGCTATTCCTCGATGTAACAATTGTCCCATCATAAAAGAGTTATATTGTATGGGATTTTTTGGCTGACTCACCCTAGAAGAGAATTCTAGCTTTAAAGAACTTTAAATCTCAGAGGTTACCCTAGCCTTGATAAAAACTTTTCAGTTTCGCAGACTATAGCATGTAAAATATCTGGATCCTGCTCCAGGTATTTTTTCCCCCTCATTGGCCAGGGGCTGTCATTCACACAATCTGTTCCTTCTAAACTTCTCAGCCCTCCCTGCCCTCTTCAAGAAAGGCATGGAGAACCAAGAGGTTTCGGAAGGCGAGAGTGTCGCTTTCCGGTGCGAGCTGACAAGAGCCGCTCCCGTCGAGTGGAAGAAGAAGCACAAGACGCTCCAGCCGAGCGACAAGTACGAAATGAGGCAGGAAGGCACAGTCTCGGAGCTTGTGATCCACGGTCTAGAACTTAAAGACGCTGGGGACTACTCCTGCCTGTGCAGTGACCAAAAGACGACTGCAGTGCTGGCTGTCCGTGGTAAATCTGAATGTTCTGCGTTCAGGGCTGGCCCGTAGCTAACACGGGGCCCATGGGGCCTGGCCCCCTAGTGTTTCTTCTGGGCCCCCTCCCTCCTGGGTTGACCACCAAAGTGCTCCAACTTACCACCTGCATTGTACTTTCATTTAATTAGCTGGTGGGCCCCCCAAGGCCCCCTCTTAAAGAATTCCCTAGCTACGGGGCTGGTCAGGGTCTGGTCCGGAAAGCCCCGTTTCCCCCCTCTGCTTGGTTCCAGCCATAGTCACTGCTGCGTTGTACCTGGCTTCCCCTCAAACCCTCTGGAAATTCCAGTGCTTTCTTCCAACACTGCTGCTTATTTGCTGTTTCTGCTGTTACTGTATGGCAGTGTCCTTCAGTCTTTGCTCTAAGGATCCCTGAGGTTCCTTGGTGGCTTGTCAGGGGTTCCTTAGGGAGAAGATCCTTGTTTTCAAACTGAAAGACAGCTGGACTTCCATTACCGATCTTCCCCTAAATGTTGGAGCTCTGTGTAAGAACATGAGAGAAGCCATGTTGGATCAGGCCAACGGCCCATCCAGTCCAACACTCTATGTCACACCGTGGCCAAAACCCAGGTGCCATCGGAAGGTCCGCCAGCAGGGCCAAAACTCCAGAATCCATCCCACTGTTGCCCCCCCCCAAGCACCAAGAAAACAGAGCATCACTGCCCCAGACAGAGTGTTCCATCTATGCCTTGTGGCTAGGAGCCATTCATGGACCTCTGCTCCATATATTTATTCATAAGAACATAAGAGAAGCCATGTTGGATCACGCCAATGGCTGATCCAGTCCAATACTCTGTGTTACACACAGTGGCCAAAACCCAGGGGCCATCAGGTGGTCCACCAGCAGGGCCAGAAGTCCAGACCCTCCTACTGGTTGCCCCCCTAGCATCACTGCCCCAGACAGAGTGTTCCATCTATATCTTGTGGCTAATAGCTGCTGATGGACCTCTGCTCCAGATGTTTATCCAACATGTGTTCTAGATCATACTCTGGGGTCATTTGGGATGACAGTGACAGCCAACAAGTCTTGTTCAGAACCTAGGACGAACCGGAGCTCTAGAATGTCCTCCAGACTCGTCTGCACAACATACAGAGGTTGAGTGACAGACAATGTGGAAAGTGTCCCTCAAAGGCCAGAAGAATGACAACTGGTCTCCCAGAGCATGCTTAGCCATCCTTATATTTCCCTCATTGAAGGATTCTGTAATTTTTTAAATGTTCATTTCTTCTCTATTGCCTTTTTGGAGGGAGAGATGGAGCTAGAAATGGTCTGACCAGAATGTTTTTGTGGCTTGAGTCCATGTCTGTAGCAGAATGCTCACTTTAGACTAAAAGGGAAATGGGAGGACAAATATTAAATGGGAAGAGCAGTTAAATTCAAGTCCAGTAGCATCTTAAAGACTGACAGGATTTCCAGGCTATAAGCTTTTGAAAGTCAAAGCTCCCTTCGTCAGATCGAAGGGTGCTTTGATTCTTGAAAGCTCATACCCCCCAAAACTCGTTGGTCTCTAAGGTGCTACTAGACTTGAATTGATGGGCTTTTCCGCATTCTCACTTTCCTCGTTTTAAGTTCCAGTTTCTTCGGGGGGTGGTGGTGGTTCCCCCTGTTCCTCATGTGTTTGTCTCCCCCTAGTGGTCGAATTGATATTACAATCTTTTCTGTCCAGTGTATCTGCCTTCAGATTTAAACTGCAGGCTTTTCTGCCGGCCATAAAGTGTTGTAATATTGACCACTAGATGGAGCAAAACGCATACAGGACATAAAGTGTTGTATTATTGAATCAACCACTAGAGGGAGCAAAACACATACAGAACATAAAGTGTTGTAATATTGAATCAACCACTAGAGGGAGCAAAATGCATACAGAACAGACCCCCACCCCAAAGAAACAGGGACTTACAATTGAGGAAAATGCGCAGGCAGAGGAGACTTAGCTCTTCTACTGCAGACCAACGTGCCTGCCCTCCCGAAATTATCTTCAAGGAAGGATAGCGATCTGTTAATTCCACGTACTCCCATAGGGACGCAAAGTTGCTGAGCGTATTTGCTCCTTCCTTATTCCTCAGCCCTGCCCGTGCTTTTCAAAGAAGAACTAAAAGGTGTTCAGGCCACAGAAGGCGAGGCCGCCACTCTGCGCTGTGAGCTGAGCAAGGCGGCTCCGGCGCAGTGGAAGAAGGGCCGCAAGTTGCTGAGGCCCAGCGCAAAATACAAAATGAGCCAGAAGGACACGGAGTTAGAGCTGGTGATCCAGAACCTAGAAGAGGAGGACTCTGGTGATTACACCTGTGTGTGTGGCGACCAGCAGACCACGGCTGCCGTATTAGTACACGGTAATACCAAGTGTCTCCTAAGTGGACTGTGTTCTGTCGTCCCGTTTCTGTTGTGTTTTTGTGTACAGTGTTTGTGTCTTTGTGCAGTGTGTTTGTTGTTCTTTTGAACCCGTGTACATACAGGATGCCGCCTAATACTGATCCAGACCCTTGGTCCATCGAAGTCAGTATTCTTTACTCAAACCGGCAGTGGCTCTCCATTTTAATGAACCCGGGACCTTCTGCATGCCAAGCAGGTGCTCAACTGAGCCCTCCTATTTCCCTCTTCTTTTGTATGTTTCAGAGCTGTTTCGCTGTTTGGCTAATGTGTTTTGAATTGTACCTTTCCTCGGCCTCACCCCAATACAGCGTCTGGTGTGAGGTTCCGATTGAATAGCGGCTCCAAATTCTGAACCCAATTTTTAAGAAACTTCTCTGCGGTGGCTCAAGTGGTTAAGACGCTGAACTGCAGGCTCGGTAGTTCAGCAGTTCAAGACCCGAGTTGCCGCATGACGGAGTGAGCTCCCGTCTCTAGTTCCAGCTCCTGCCAACCTAGCAGTTCGAAAGCAAGAAATTGCAAGTAGATAAATAGGAACCACTTCGGTGGGAAGGGAACAGCGTTCCGTGCCCCTTGGTGTTTAGTCATGCCGGCCACACGACCACGGAAACGTCTTCGGACAGTGCTGGCTCTTCGGCTTTGAAACGGAGATGAGCACTGCAACCCTAGCGTCAGACTTGACTGGCTTTCGAGCCAGGGAAACTTTACCTTTACCTTTCTCTTGCCAGGCTGGTCTATATCAGTCAATCCCCCCCAGTACTTTATTCAGAGTCACTTCTTTTGTTCCACCCACCTGCCCCCCTCCAATCCTTGCAGCAGTATTTTTTAAAAAATATATTTGGATCTTGCGTGTGTTGTGTAATGTGAACGTAACCCAGACTCGTCCTGGAATGCCAGTGGATGGTCTCCTGGATCATGGGTATAACACGCAATATTTTCAGCATCAGAGGGTGTAGATATAACCTTGATCCCACAACGCTACCATGACATCCAGGAATTCCAAGATGGCTCCCAATTCAGGCTGCGTTGTCCTGGGAATGGACGTGTGAAGGATCAAGACATTTGAAGAAGATCTAACATGCTTCTCTGAGATGTGGAGAAGGTACCGCTGTTCTGTTCTCTTGGTGAAGCCTCAAGAGATTGTGCCACATTAGCCAGAGCAGATATCGCTGCTCTGTGTCTGCGCGCTAACATTCTCTGCCTGTTGCATCCCTCAGTTCTGCCGGCCCTCTTCAAAGAGGACCTGAAGTCTCAGGATGCCACGGAAGGCGCCACAGCCACACTGTGCTGCCAGCTGACTAAGGCTGCTGCCGTGGAATGGATGAAGGGCCAACATGCGCTTAAAGCCGGCGAGAAATATAAAATGAGCCAGGAAGATTTGCTCGTTAGGCTGGAGATTCGAGAGGTGGACCTGGAGGATACCGCTGAATATTCCTGCATCTGTGGGGGTCAGAAGACAGCCGCTTTCTTGTCCGTGCACGGTAAAGAAAATGAAACACGCAGTCACCGAACGATCCTATTATCTGCACCTGTCTCTGTGTGCGCGTAAAGTGTTGCCGAGTCGCAAGCTGACTTATGCGAGCCCTCCTAGGGTTTTCGAGGCAAGAGATGTGCAGAGGTGGTTTGCCTTTGCCTGTCTCTGTGTAGAGATCCTGGACTTCCTTGGCGGTCTCCCATCCGAGCGCTAACCAAGGCTGACCCAGCTTAGCTTCTGAGATCTGACGAGATCGGGCTAGCCTGGGCCATCCAGAGTTCACCAGTTGGTAGTTGGATTTCATTTCTGTTTGTGGGCATTTGTCATTGTGATTTATGTGATTCCTGTGGCAGTGCTGTCTGTCTGTTGTCTGTTGGGCAAGGCCCATCACAACGTCTCCGGTACGAGTGCCGCTGAAATAAATTACAGGTTCCCAGTTCGTTTTAGTGGTGTTCCCATGTTCTCTGAAAAAAAAATGTCTGATGTGTCTTCTCCTTGGCCCTGGTAATCTGGATGTGGACAATGCCTTCTATAATTTCTGTGGCAGTGTTGTCTGATGGGCAAGGCCTATCACAATGTCTCCAGTACGAGTGCCGCTGAAATAAATTACAGGTTCCCAGTTCATTTGAGTGGTGTTCCCATGTTCTCTGGAGGGAAAAAAAATGTCTGGCGTGTCTTCTCGTTGGCCCTGGAAGTCCGGATGTGGACAATGTCTTATCGTCATCCTGTCTTTAAAACCCGTAAATTATGGTATATGTTTTGTTTATTCTCCCGTTGTGCTGTCCCCACTGTCTCCTGCAAGCGGTCCCAATGTTGCTTCTAAATGCAGTGTTCCTGTTCTGTGATCCTCAGCTCTGCCTGCTCGTTTCAAAAGCATCCTGAAGAAAAAGGAAGCCACGGAAGGCGACATGGCGACACTGCGCTGTGAATTGACCAAGGTCGCGGCTGTGCAGTGGGAGAAGGAGCACCGCGTGCTCCGAGCGAGTGAAAAGTATTCCATGAGACAGGATGGGGTTAAGGTCGAGCTGACGATCCATCAGTTGGAGCTTCAGGATATGGGCGATTACACCTGTGTGTGTGGCGACGAGCAAACCACAGCATCTTTGACCGTGAACGGTAACTTAAGCATTGTAAACGAGTACATCATAATGTGCCATGAAATTTGCAATTCCGTATTACTCAGTTCTAGTTCTCCTCTAAAGTCGCAGTGGTCAACCTTTTTTGGCAAATTTGTAAGCCGTGTCCCAGGTATAACAGTGGCCTTTTAGAGTTCACTGACAGTACACAGGCAGAACGGGAGGGATTTTACCTTTAGCATGCTGAACTGTGGCATACATAGGAGTATAGCACTGGACAGGGAGGCTTTACTGCGAACCTTCTTTCTTATGAGGTGCCGTGCTGGATCATACCAGTGGTCCATCTAGTCCAGCATTCTGTTTCATTTAGTGGTCAACCAGTTGCCCTGGAAATCTAACGGCCTAGAAGCCAATGTATTCCCTTGAAGTTTCCCCCTAGCACTGGAATCCAGAGGTTTTCTGCCTCTGACTATGGAGGTTTCCTTTTGTCACCCTGGCTAGTAGACATCGACGGACCTCTCCTTCACGAAACTGTCCAGCTCAGTTTTAAATTTGTCTATGCTAGTGGCCATGACTGTCATATTCACGGGCCGCTGCAGAAGAATTCCTTTGGACCATCCTGAATGTACTGCCCATCAACTTCACCGAGTGTCTCCGAATGCTAGTATTATGGGACAGGGAGAAAGAGTTTTCCCGCGCACTTCCTCTACCCCATGCAGATGTTTACAAACCACATAGGAATGGTGCTCCGAAACCATAATCACCCTGGCTGCCCTCTTCTGTGCTTTCTCCTGATTTTTGGTTTATAGTGAACTGTAGTACACACATTCAGGTGGGCAGCGCGCACTATTCCAAGTGCAGCCACACATAGATCTGCAAAGGCATTACAATACTGGCCATTTGATTTTCACCCCCTTCCCTAATAAACCCTAGCACCGAGTTTGCCTTTTTTCATTGCTCTTGCACACTGAGACGGTATTTCCCTCGAGCTATCTGTTATCCCAAGATCTCTCTTTCTTTCTCTGTCTTGATCAGTTCAGACCCCCATCAGCAAATGTTTAAAGTTTGGATGTTTCTAAAGTTTCAGTGTGTATCACCTTGCAGTTATTTCCATGGAGCTTCATTTGCTGCATCGTTGCCCACTCACCCTACTTTGTGTTGCTTTTAACAATACATTTTGGTTTTCATCACCCTCAATAATTTGTTATCATCTGCGAATGTAGCCCCTTTGTGTCTGAGCCCCCATTTCAGATCATTTATGGACAAGTTGAATAGCACCAGTCCTAATTTATAATCCTTCTGGGGACTTCAACCCTGACTTCCTTCACTAAGAAGTGACCACTTATTCCTTCTCTCTGTTGTTTATCCACTTTTTTAATCTGTAAGAGGACCTGCAGTCTTGTCCCATGATTTCTCGAATCTTTGCCTGTATTACCTGTGGAACTGGTGGTGCTGGTTGGCCAACCCTAATCTATAGCGTAGTTCTTGTTTTTGACTAGGCCCTCTCACATATAATTACAGATTGAATATAGTACTCTATAATGATACTAAATACCTAATCCACTGGGTCTAATGGTCATACAAGGTGGGCTTCTGAACAGGAACTTTTTCCTGAATTTTACCAATCCACTATTTCCCATCTCCTAGCTTACTCTCCAACATCTGTCCTGACGTTAAGCCTAAAGCTTATCCGATAAACCCTGCACTGATCTCTTCTGCTGACCCTGAGCATTCCTCATGCATCCTGGTCCTGTCTGTGGCCTTTGACCCTTCCCAGTCCCTCCTCAGTTCCAAAAACTCTGAAGGTCTTTTGTTCTCTCCCCACCCTGGTTCATAAGAGCAGTCGCCACCGTTTCCGTCAGGTTCAGACTTCGGGGCCTTTTTCATAGGTTCTCTTTATTTTCTGTCCCTCAGCTCTCCCTCCATTTTTCAAGGAAGAGTTAAAAGATGAACAGGTTTCGGAAGAAGGCACAGTCACTCTACGCTGCGAACTGAGCAGAGAGGCTCCAGTGATGTGGAAGAAAGGGCACAGCCTGCTTAAAGCGGGTGATAAGTATACAATGATGCAGCGAGGAACGACTGCAGAACTGACTTTCCATCGTGTGGAAGAGCAAGATGCCGGAGAATATAGCTGTGTATGTGGGGACCAGAAGACAACAGCTGCCTTAACTGTACATGGTAAAAAAAAATATATACGCTCCCCATGATCATCTTGGTTAGACGCTTTTCCAGTGTCACTTTTAAAAGTTCACAGTTCCGCACGATATCTTGCTACCCCATTTATGTAAAAACGGATTATTTAATGTTTTTATTTACATATTTATATACCTAGCATGCTTATGTGTTTTCCCTCCCTTTTGATTTCTTGATTCTCAAATCGTGCCAGTTGTACCACTTTCCTTACTCCAAATGCCTTTTTAACTTAAAAAAAATATTTTAAACTTTTTACAGGAATACAGAATAAAGAAATAGGGTAAGAGAAAAAAAAATAAAATTATAAAAACACAATACGAAGGTCAGTTTTTACAAATATTAAGGACAATTATTGATTTAAAAGTATATAAAAAGAGGTATAACATGGTAGCTTAGTAAACCACGATAATCCAATCGAAATAGTCTACTACTTTCTCATAACGTGTTTCCATTTTTGTCCTATCTTAACAATTATAAAATAAAACATAGGTAAATTCTCATTAGTTTTGTATATAATTCTAGCATAACAGTTTGTTGTAATAAAAACCGTGCAAATAATATCCTTAATATTTCATATAAGAGCTGTTATTTATAAAATAAACCATTCAAATATATAACTACAAAGATTAATTATCGTAAGCATAAAAAGCTCGCCAGTTGTTCTCAAGTTCATCTTTTGGTCTCCGATTAATATAATTTGTCAGTTTAGCCATAATGGCATATCCAATTTTCAAGAGACTGACAACCCTCAATTTTCCACTTTGCTGCAAATACTACTCTTGCTATTGTTAACATGTATCTAAGCAATTCATGCGTTGTTCTATCTGCATTCACTGGTAAAATTCCTAATAGCATAGTCTCTGGTAACATAGCAAATTGTATATTCTTTTTTAAAAATCTCAATATGGATTTCTTTCTAATATTTGCTAGGGTTTTTTTTCCTACAAGACCACCATGTATGGTTAAACGTACCACCTATTTCCTTACATTTCCAACATTATCCTTTATCATTTTAATACATCTTCTCAATGCCTTTGGGGATAATAAATGCCCATTCAACTTGATGAGCCATTCCAAAATCAAATTGGGTGGAGGCTTCATAAAAACTTGAAGTCCAACACTTAAATCTTTAATAAACTGAGAATGTTCTTCAACAACATCTCTAATTCTGAACACAGCCCTAGAATGTGGATCGAAAAATTCACATAATACAGCCGTGGGCAGATAGGGGGGATTTTTCTGCAAAATACTTTAAACCTCTGCACAGGAACCCCCCATATAAATGCTAATGGCCCCTCTGTTGGTTGTGCTCTCAGTCTTGCCTGCCCGTTTCAAAGAAGAATTGGGGAACCAAGAGGTCACCGAAGGGGACGCTGCTGTTCTTTGCTGCGATCTGACCAAGATGGCTCCAGTTGAGTGGAGAAAGGGAGATCTGGTTCTCAGACAGAGCGAGAAATACACCATTAAACAGGAAGGCGTCATTTCAGAGCTGGTGATCCACAACTCCGATGAGAAAGACACTGGGCGGTATACCTGCGTTTGTGGAGACCAGCAGACTACTGCTACCCTAAAAGTCAATGGTAAAGAATACTCCCAAACCCGTCTGGCTTTTACCCTGTCCTTCTGAAGTAACAGTTTTGGAAACGGGCTCCTGCACGTATCTTAAGCCCCCTCGCCGATCCTTCCCGGGTTCCTTTCTGTTGGAATTTGATGAATTAGTGGCTACTTATCCCATCCTGCTGATTTTGTCTGCCCTAAGACTACGACTTTGTGTTCTCAGTTTCTCTCTCTCCCAGTAGATACTTCCTTCTTTCCCTGACCAGCTTAACCGTCATATATATGTGACCCACTTGGTGCGGCATGGTTGGTTGCAACACGTTTGTCCCTTTGCATGCGCCTCACGTATACCACCTGTCACCCTTGATGTCTGTTGGGTTTTAAAGCAATAGAGGGTGGATTCATTTCCTTGTCCCTTCTCCAATGAAATAATGACTTCTGCAGTCACCAGCTGGATGGGAGTGCAGAGGAACGAGGTGGTCTAAAGGAATCCACCATGTGACAGTGCACTGACGGGAAACCATTGCAGCTAAGATCATGGTCAACCACCTTTATATGGACATAATAGTTAAGCACAATTTGAATGGCCCTGAACTCAGACAGATCTCCTCAGATCTCAGAAGCTAAGCAGGGTCAGCCCTGGTAGGTATTTAGATGGGAGATCACCAAGGAAGTCCAGGGTTGCTACGCAGAGGCAGGCAACGGCAAACCCCTTCTGAACATCTCTTGCCTTGAAAACCCCAAGGAGTCACCTTGGCTGCGACTTTACAGAACTTTCCACCCCAGTTTGAAGGACGGATGCAATGAAGAGAGTTGGGCAAAACCCAACGGCATACTCTTCTTCCGGATCATGTCATGAGAACTGCCTTGCTAGAGCAAACTAAGCATCTCTTTAGTCAAGTATTCTGATGATGGCTTGACAGAAACCCACCAGCAGGATATGAAAGCAGTGGTCTTCCCGTGCTCACCGGCATTGGGATTCAGAGTCCTAGAGCCTCTATGCATGGAGGTTCTTTCTTTAGCGCTATCAGGGTCAATAGCTGTCAATAGACCTCTCCTCCATGAATCTGTTTCACCCTTTTCCAAAACCACTTGGTGGCTTCTCTTTTTGCTTTACAACCACATCAGGGTACTAAGTGGTCTACAGGAATTCACCATGTGACTGTACTGATGGGCAACCGTTTCGGTAATGTCACAGTCCGCCACCTTTACGCGGATATAATAGTAAAGCATTGTTTCTGAGCGCTTCCTCCTTTTACTGTCTTCTTCAACCCCTTCCATTGTCCTCTCTACCCCATCTCAAAATTGTCCCTCTCGGTTGTAACTCTCGGCTTTTTAATTCTGTATCGCACCCTCTAGCCTTGCCTGCCCTTTTCAAGGAAGAGATGTGCGCTCAGGAAGCCACAGAAGGTGAAACAGTCGCTTTGCGTTGTGAGTTGACGAAGCCTGGTGCCACAGTGCAATGGAAGAAGGAGCGTGAAGTCCTCAAACCTAGTGACAAGTGCTTCATTAGACAGGAAGGTCCAATTGTTGAGTTGGTGATATCGAATGTGGATCTGAAGGATGCCGGAGAATATACTTGTGTTTGTGGAGACCACAAGACAACAGCCACCTTAGCAGTCCATGGTAAAATCACATGCTGCAGATGACCTGGAATGAGCATATGTCCTTACTTATATCCACCTGACCCTTGGACTCACACACTATAGTTCCATCACATCGTTCCTGGAGACAGACTTTATGTCTTTGGAGCCGTGTTCCTATTTCTGTTGTCCGTCTTTGTGTCCTGTTACATTTCTGATGTCCGTCATTCGTTGAGAAACTGCATGTGAAGATCACTTTATGTCAGTCCGTCGTACTCTCTCCATTCACGGTTGTACACCAGTGCCTGCTGAGGCCGATGGAAGTCGTTCTATTTAAATTCAGCAAGTAGAGGATCAGACCTTTGTACAGATTTTCCCCCCCATTTTCCCACCCCTCACCCGTCCCCCTCCCGTACATGTTCCCTCCAGTCATGACACCCTCCTGACGAGGCTGAATCACACATTTATTTTGTGTTCTGCAGCCCTCCTGCCACAATTCAAAACAGAATTGAAGGACGTGGAAGCCACGGAAGCTGGAACAGCCACTCTGCGGTGTGAGCTCACCAAGGATGCTCCCGTGGAATGGATGAAGGCAGACAAGAAACTAGCTGAAAGTGACAAATACCGAATCCGACAGCAAGATACCACTACAGAGCTGGTGATCCGTGATTTAGATATTCAGGACGCTGGGCATTACACCTGTATATGTGGAGACCTGAAAACCACAGCGGTCTTAACAGTGAACGGTAAAAAAAAAAAAAAGTTGAAGTAGAGCCAGGGAATGTATTTGCTGAATAGCAGGCTTGAAATTACGGGATACAGAAGTTTAGATATGGGGGAAGGCTGAAATAAATACTTCAATTAAAACCTAGGTTCCGGTTTGCAAGTACGTATGCGTTGTTTGGTTATGGCCATCCATGACGACAATTCGGTGAGTGCGAATGTCTTTGCTGAATAGCAGGCTTATAAATAAGGAATACAGAAATTTTTAGAATGTGGGAAGGCTGAAATAAATACTTCAATTAAAACCCAGGGTCTGGTTTACAAGTACGTATGCGTAGTTTGGTTATGGCCATCCGTGACGACAATTCGGTGAGTGCAAATGTATTTGCTGAATAGCAGGGTTATAAATAAGGGGTACAGAAGTTTAGATATGTGGGAAGGCTGAAATAAATACTTCAATTAAAACCTAGGGTCTGGTTTACAAGTACCTACGCATTGTTTGGGTATGGCCATCCATGGCGACAATTCTGTGAGTGCGAATGTATTTGCTGAATAGCAGGCTTATAAATAAGGGATGCAGAAATTTAGATCATTGGGAAGGCTGAAATAAATACTTCAATTAAAACCCAGGGTCTGGTTTACAAATACTTGTATGCATTGTTTGGGTATGGCCATACATTACGACAATTTGGTGAGCAAATCGTCGTAATTGAAAAGCCCTGCATTTGAAGTCACATTGAGTGGCAGAAAAGTTCGATCCGTGATGCTCGAGTTAGACCTGCGAGCCATCTCTTAAGGTTGCAATCAAGTGATGAACCACCTTGTGTGATAATACTACTAAGTCAGTTTCTGGCAACCTTGATTTTGTTTCTGATTTTATTCTTAAAAGCACTGAAGCCATGGATAGTTGTGGTGTTTCATACTTAATTTCAAACACTGAAATGCTGGTAATTTGTTAATTCAAAACATTGCAGTTTGGGCATGTTTCTTTTCTGACCTGGTCTCTTGAATTGAATTTGAAATGTTCACACTGGTATTCGTTTCAAAGTCAGTTCGCCTTTGTTAAAGCAATTGTGCCGTTTTTTGTAACAACACAAGGTCAGGGTACCATTTACAATTTGTCATTTTTTAATTACATATCTTCATAGGCCAGAGTAAAAGTTCTTCACACTGCAGTAAATTCTCAAGTGGTGACGTGAAGAAAATTTCTGTTCTTGCCACCGCTGGCTTTCTTTGCCTTTTGGGTTTTGTTTTACAGCGGAGAAAAATCTGGGAGCTTGGAAAACTTCTTAGGTCCTTCTCTTCGCAAACAAGAATCTTTTTTGCCTACATCAACTGTTTTTGACTCCACAGCCCTCAAGCCTGAATTCCAGCAACGTCTTAAGAACCAGAAAGCCGAAGAAGGTGGGACGGCCAAGTTGCGTTGTGAGGTAACATTGGCGAAGGCCACAGTGGAGTGGCGAAAAGATGGCGTGGTTCTTCAATCTGGCCCTAAATATGAAATCGGAGAAGAAGGTACCATCCGTGAGCTGCTCATTCACGATCTGGAACCTAAAGACAGCGGAGAATATTCGTGCATTACCGGGGATCAGACAACATCTGCCACTCTGACAGTGAAAGGTAAGAGACAATGTTATTTTGCAGTAATTTTCCCTACTCTTTGCCTACCTCATCTGGATACTTTTGTACCAGAAAAATAAAATCTGTTCATCATTACTAGAAAAAGAATGCAGCATAAACAAAACAGTTTGGTGTAGTGTTTAGGAGCATGGACTCTAATCTGGGAGAACCATTAACATCATAGTAACATCATAGTTACTATGAGCTGCGGTGGCTCAAGTGGTTAAGACGCTGAACTGCAGGCTGTGGAAGGTCGGTAGTTCAGCAGTTCGAGACCCGAGTGTGCCGCATGACGGAGTGAGCTCACGTCTCTAGTTCCAGCTCCTGCCAACCTAGCAGTTCGAAAGCAAGAAATTGCAAGTAGATAAATACCGTGTTTCCCTGAAAATAAGACAGTGTCTTATATTAATTTTTGCTCCCAAAGATGCACTAGGTCTTATTTTCAGGGGATGTCTTATTAAGAAGAATACGGTACACTCTGTCAGGGTAGAGTGAGCAGCAGGTGGCAGCTTGTTCTGGTGGCGGCGCGGTCTCTCTGTATAAAAGAGACCTCACACTTCCTGTCTGCTCCGGCTGCGCTGTGGCCAACAGTGAGCTGCGCGGCGGAGCCCACCGCTACAGCCCAGAGTCCAGAGTTACGGTAGCTTCGGGGGGCCTTATTATCGGGGAGGCCTTATTTAAGTAGGTCTTATTTTCGGGGCATGTCTTACTTTCAGGGAAACACGGTAGGTACAACTTCGGTGGGAAGGTAACAGTGTTCCGTGCGCCTTGGTGTTTAGTCATGCCGGCCACATGACCACGGAAACGTCTTTGGACAGCGCTGGCTCTTCGGCTTGGAAACGGGGTTGAGCACCGCAACCCTAGAGTCAGATTCAACTGGCTTTCGAGCAAGGGAACCTTTACCTTTACCTTTAACATCATAGTAGCAGCTACAGTCCTGGCCCTTGGCCTTCAACATCTAGCCTGCGCTGCCTGAGCATTAGGAAGATCGGGAGCAAAATGACGGAGAGACTTTGTGTACACTCTCAATGTACGCCATCCCATAACAACTAATTTATTATGCAGCACTTTATAAATCACGACTCTTTATGACTGAATCGTTTTACATGATTTTATGTGATTTTAATTGTTTGTTTTAAGCAGTGTAAGCCGCCCTGAGCCTGCCGTAAAGCGGGGAGGGTGGGGTATAAACCTAACAAATAATAATAAATAATAATTCCCCACTCCTCCACATGCAGCTGTTGGTATGACCTTGGGTCAGTCATAAGTAGGGGTGTGCAAAAAAAAAAAATTCGGCCCATTCGGGTTCGGCTGGGCAGAATCAATTTCGGCCGGCATAAATACTCCTGCTTGTCAATTTCAGCAATAGGAGCCCAGGAGTCTTTCGGCCAGCCGAATGTCAGTTTCAGCCCCATTATATCCTACGGGCCATTGAGGTCAATGGCGAAAACATAGGGTATATTCTGGGGCTGGAGGGGAGGGGGTTTGAGGGAGAGGCTCCAAACTCGCAGGGTAGCTGCTGGAGCCGCTCCCCAAGATACCAACCAAGTTTGAAAAACATTGGACCAGGGGGTCCAATTCTACGGGGCCCCAAAAAGGTTGCCCCTATCCCCTCCATTGTTCTGTATGGTGGGAGAAAAGTAACGTATGCCATGGCCCTTGCAGGACTCGACATCACCATCATCCGGGGTCTGAAGAACGCTGAGGTGTTTGAGGAGGAAGACGCGACCTTTGAGTGCAAAGTTTCCCACGACAATGCAAAGGACGTGGAGTGGAAGTTGCAGGAGGCCTCCCTCCAGAGCAACGAGATGAACGAGATCTCGGTCGAAAAAGGCAGGGTCCACACCCTGCGGCTGAGGAAGGTCACGCAGCAGGATTCTGGGACTGTCACCTTCCGAGTCGGACCATACACCTCCACAGCACAGCTCACAGTGAAAGGTAATGAACGACACACCTTCAGGGGGTTGCTACGAAGTTCAGCGCCCCGCAAAGGCTCCCTGAGGCCCCGCTGGTTGCCCTGCTACTAAAAGTAAGCTAGTGGGAAGCTCTGCTACCCACATTTTAGAGCTTTGCTCAGCTTGCTATTAAGAGTAAGCCAGCATCCATCCATCCATCCATCCATCCATCCATCCATCCATCCATCCATCCATCCATCCATCCATTCATATTTATAGTCTGTCCTCCCCGCAAACAGGCTCAGGGCGGATCACGTAAAAGAATGTGGGGTTGCAGTACAAGTAGTCAAGATTAAACATGAAACACTGCAATGTGCACCAGAGTCAGAATTTGGCACCAGATTTCATGATACGGGGTGGATGGTTCAGATCCAGCCCTTCTTGTGTAAATGCAACCAGATTCCCCATTGTTCTGTGTGCTACCTCATGAGGCAGAGGGACGCGACCAATATCATAATCTCTGCTTGGTGCCAGTTTGGTGTAGTGGTTAAGTGCGCGGACTCTAATCTTGGAGAACAGGGTTTGATTCCCCACTCCTCCGCTCGCACCTGCTGGATGACCTTGGACAAGCCATAGCTCTGTCAGAGCTGTTCTCTCAAGGACAGTTCTGGAAAGAGCTCTCTCAGCCCTGCCTACCTCACAGGGTGTCTGTTGTGGGGAGGAGAAGGGAAAGGAGTTTGTGAGCCGCTCTGAGACACCTTTGGGTAGTGAAGGGCGGGGTATAAATCCAATCTCCTACTCCTCCTCCTCCTCCTCCTCCTCCTCCTCCTCCTCCTTTTCTTCTTCTTCTTCTTCTTCTTCTTCTTCTTCTTCTTCTTCTTCTTCTTCTTCTTCTTCTTCTTCTTCTTCTTCTTCTTCTTCTTCCTTTCAGTTTTTTTAAAAATCCTTCACATTTGCATTTTTCAGCACCACTTCCCTTCTTTAAAGAAAAGTTGGAGAACAAAGAGCTACAAGAGGACAGTACGACCATCCTGAAATGCGAAGTCTCCCAGCCCAACGTCTCGGCGACATGGAAAAAAGGCACCCAGGTGATTTCTCCGAGCCCCAAATATGAAATCAAACAAGAAGGAACGACGCATACCTTGAAGATTTACGACCTGAAAGTGGAAGATTCGGGCAAATACACCTGTGACATCGGAAACGAGAAGACCGTGGCCATGGTGGCAGTCGAAGGTAGGGGTTTTGCTAAGGGGGAAAGAAACCGTCTTTTGTTTTGGCCACGAGCCTGTACATCTTCTCCTGTAATTGACATTTATTCTAAACTTAAAAGGTCCCTATTAGTTTTTATACCAGTTATTCCTTCCTGCAATGGATTTTTAGGATAGCAGAGGCTGCCAGGGCTCTTTTTGTAGCAGGAACTCCTTTGCATATTAGGCCACACCGCCTAATGTAGCCAATCCTCCAAGAGCTTAGAGAGCTCTTCTTACAGGGGCTACTATAAGCTCTTGGAGGATTGGCTACATTAGGCGGTGTGGCCTAATATGCAAAGGAGTCCCTGCTACAAAAAGAGCCCTGCGACACACCCCTAATGTAGCCAATCCTCCAAGAGCTTAGAGAGCTCTTCTTACAGGGGCTACTATAAGCTCTTGGAGGATTGGCTACATTAGGCGGTGTGGCCTAATATGCAAAGGAGTCCCTGCTACAAAAAGAGCCCTGCGACACACCCCTAATGTAGCCAATCCTCCAAGAGCTTAGAGAGCTCTTCTTACAGGGGCTACTATAAGCTCTTGGAGGATTGGCTACATTAGGGGTGTGTCACTTAATATGCAAATGAGTACCTGCTACAAAAAGAGCCCTGAACGTGCGAACAGAGGTTGCAACTGTAAGTCCCAGTGTGTGTGACTCTCTGCAGCACATTGCTGTGTTCCTGGCTTCTCTGCTCCCATATAGTAACTCTTAGATGGTAAATAATAACGTAACACGTACGAAGGCATTATAGGGGACAGCAGTTTGTGACTCGCTCTCTTTACAGGATACTTGCAATTTTGCTTGTAGAAGACTAAGGCATTTATATTTAAAAAGTCCATAAAATATACCAAATTGAACAGTTTGATATGGTGGGTTTGCTTAAAGAGAGAGGTTTTCAAGCATTGGTGTTTTTTTTTAATTTAGATACTTTGGACCATCCCAATGAGAGCCAATTTGCTGTACTGGTTAAGAGTGTGAACTCTAATCTGGGAGAACCAGGTTGGATTCCCCACTCCTCCACATGCAGCTGCTGGTGTGACCTTGGGTCAATCACAAGTTCTCTCAGAGCTATTCTCTCAAGAGCAGTCCTTGAGAGAGCTCTCTCAGCCTCACCCACCTCACAAAATGTCTGTCGTGGGGAGGGGAAGGGAAAGGAGACTGCAAGCCGCTTTGAGACTCTGAGTGAAGGGTGGGGTATAAATCCAATCTCCTCCTCTGCCTCCAATTGTCCTCTTTTCCAGTTTTTCCTGTCCTTAGCTCTCTCTGTCCTGAATTCTCTTTATTATGTGCAATTCTGCACCCTCATTTTCAATGCTCATGCGCCCCTATTGCTTGGTGGTGGTTGTTTTCAAGGCTATTTTTGGGCAGGAACGCACAGGAACGGAGTTCCGGCTAGCTCCCGAGTTGGCCATGCCCAGCAGGAACTCATTAGCATAATAGGCCACACCCAACAGCAGGAACTCATTAGGAATGGCTACATTAGGGGTGTGTGGCCTAACATGCAAAGGAGTTCCTGCTACAAAAAAAGGCCCTGGGTTTTGACAACAAACAAGGTAAACAGAATAAGAAGGGAAAGGTGGGTGTGGCTGGATGAGCACACTTCTGGTAACATGGGGGTGCGGCCTAATGTGCTTATGAGCTGTGCTGTCAGGGGTGTGGCCTAATATGCTAATGCATTTTGCTGCTGGGTCTGGCCTATTATGCTATTGAGTCCCTGCTGGGCTTTTTCTACAAAAAGAGCCCTGGTTGTTTTTTATTTTCCACACTTGTCTTCTCCCTTTAATGATCGTTTCGCTCATCACTTTCTGACATATTTTTCTGCAGTGCAGAAGGTCCCAGGTTCAATCCCCAGCATTTCCAGTGAAGGATCGGGTAGTCAGTGAGGTAGAAGACCTCAGCCTGAGACCCCGGAGAGCTGCTGCCAGTCTGAGTAGACAATACTGGCGACAATAACCTTGATGGACTTATGGTCTGATTCAGTATAAGGCAGCTTCATGTTGTTCAATGTTGTCCCAAATTTCTATTTTCCTCCATAAAAAATACAGGGAAAATACTGTTGTTTTCTTCCAGAGCTTTTCCATGTCTAATACCACCAGCTCATGGGGCCAGTTTGGTGTAGTGGTTAAGTGCGCGGACTCTAATCTGGGAGAACTGGATTTTATTCCCCACTCCTCCAATTGCACCTGGCTGGATGACCTTGGGCAAGCTGTAGTTCTGGTACAGCTGCTCTTGAAAAAGAGCAGTTTCTGTCAGAGCTCTCTCGGCCCCACCGACCCCACAGGGTGTCTGTTGTGGGGAGGGGAAGGGAAAGGAGTGTGTAAACTGCTCTGAGACTCCCTTGGGTAGTGAAGGGTGAGGTATAAATCCAATCTCTTCTTCTTCTTCTTCTTCTCAAGATCAGACCAATAGTCCATCTAGTCCAGCATCCTGTCTCACACAGGGGCCAACCAGTTCCCCTGGAGGTCCAATGACAGAGTGCAGGGGCCGAGGCCTTCCCCTGATAAGAACATCAGAAGAGCCCTGCTGGATCAGACCATTGAGGGTCCATCTAGTCCAGCCTCCTGTCTCACACAGTGGCCAGCCAGTGCCTCTGGACAGCCAGCAACAGGGCGTTGAAGCCAAGGCCTTCTCCTGATGTTGCCTCCTGGCTCTGGGATTCAGAGGATTAGTGCCTCTGAATGTGGAGTTTCCCCTCAGTCACCATGGTAGCCATTGATAGACTTACACTCTATGAATCTGTCTAGTCCCCTTTTAAAACCATTTATTCCCGCGGCCCTCACATCTTCAATTTCCCTGTGTGACTCTCAGCCCTTCCAGCTCTCTTTGAAGCCGAGCTGGAGAATCAAAATGTGGAAGAAGGCGAGACGGTTACCCTCCGGGCTCAGCTCTCCAAGCCCAACGTGCCCATGAGGTGGAGCAAAGGCTCGGCCAAACTGCGAGCCAGCGAGAAGTATGAGATGAGGCAAAAGGGTTCGACGGTCGAACTTCTCATCCACAACACTCTGCCCGAGGATTCCGGGGACTACACCTGTGACTCTGGCGACCAGCAGACCACCGCCTCAGTGCTAGTAAAAGGTGAGAAAGGGATACCTTTGGCCGCCTCTACAAGAGTGGCCTGGCATGAGGTAGATCAAGATGGGAAGCCGCGTCAGTCTGTCTGCGGCAGTAGAAAAGAGCAAGAGTCCAGGAGCCCCTTAAAGACTAACAAAATTTCCGTCAGGGAGGAGCTTTCGTGAGTCACCGCTCACTTGCTAGATTGAGCGGTGTCATGACTAGAGCGCCTTGGCGGCCTCGGTTAATGACCCCACTCTGCCCTGACACTTGCTGGGTGACCTTGGGCCTCTAGTCTAATTTTGTTGTTGTCCAGTCACACAGTCGAGTCCGACTCTCCGCGACCCCATGGACCAGATCACGCCAGGCCTTCCTGTCTTCCGCCGTCCTCTGAAGTTTGCTCAATTTCATGTTCGTTGCCTCGATAACACTGTCTGACCATCTCATCCTTTGCCGTCCCCGTCTTCTTTGACCTTCAATCTTTCCCAGCATCAGGGTCTTCTCCAGTGAGTGCTCCCTTCTCATTTGGTGGCCAAAGTATTTGAGCTTCAGTTTCATTATCTGGCCTTCCAGGGAACAGTCAGGGTTGATTTCTTTTAGGATTGACTGATTCGATCTTCTTGCAGTCCAAGGGACTCTCAAGAGTCTTCTCCAGCACCATAGTTGAAAAGAATCTATTCTTCGGCGCTCGGCCTTCCTTATAGTCCAACTCTTGCAGCCATACATGACTACTGGGAATGCTTTTTTAACAATAAATATTCAATTGTCAAGTCTAAGTGGGGTGTTTTTTTTGTATCATGAAATCTTCATAAGTTTTTTGATATCCCATTTTCTACAATAGAACATCAAAAGCACTTTACACCTCCGAGGAACAACAAAGCTTCAGAAACCTGTGAGGAATAGTGTCAAGTTTGTGATTGGTTTATGTTATTATATTTTTAATATTATCTTCTGATACGTTTATGTTATTATATTTTTATATTATATTTCTGGTGATTGGTTTATGTTATATTTTTTATATTATCTTTCTTGTGATGGGTTTATGTTATTATATTTTTATATTATCTTTCTTGTGATAAGTTTATGTTATTATTTTTTGTTATCTTTCTTGTGATTGGCTTATGTTATTTTTTATGTTATCTTTCTTGTGATAGGTTTATGTTATATTTCTTTCATTGTGTATGTATGGAACAATGGAATATTGGATATTAGAATACTTATGAATATTTCATAATACAAAAAAAACCACTTAGACTTGATATTTGAATATTTATTGTTAGAAAGGCACGCAGCATTTAGCTTAGGCTAATAGATTAGATTCTCATGTCTGTATTCCTTTTCAATTAATTGGGTGAACGTGCGCCAGCTTAACCTGCCTCACCGGGGTTGTAGTGAGGAGAAAAAGGGGAAGGGAAACCGTGAATGTTGCTCTGAGCTCTTTCAAGGAAGGACAGAATACAAATTGATTAGATAAATAGGTTTCAGTGACTTCTTGTAAATTTCTGGGCTTAGGTGCTGATACCAAAATGTCCCCGCCTCTTCTTAGTATCTTCTCGGTACTTTTGAAGTTCTCAGTGGCCTGAGTCACTTATGTGTAAGGGAGCATCTTCTCCTGTACATATCTTTATAAGAACATCAGAAAAGCCCTGCTGGGTCAGACCAGGGAGGGTCCACCTAGTCCAGCCTCCTGTCTCACACAGTGACCAACCAGTTCCTCTGGAGGGCCAACAACAGGGCAGAGAGGCCGAGGCCTTCCCCTGAGAAGAACCTCAGAAGAGCCCTGCTGGATCAGACCAGGGAGGGTCCATCCAGTCCAGCCTCTGGTCTCACACAGTAGCCAACCAGTTCCTCTGGAAGGCCAACAACAGGGCAGAGAGTCCGAGGCCTTCCCCTGAGAAGAACATCAGAAGAGCCTCGCTGGATCAGATCAGGGAGGGTCCATATAGTCCAGCATCCCATCTCACACAGTGGACGACCAGTTCCTCTGGACAGCCAACAACAGGGCATAGAGGCTGAGGCCTTCCCTTGATGTTTCCTCCTGGCGCTGGGCTTTAGAGGCTGAACATGGAGGTTTTCTTTAGTCCACATTCACAACTGCCCCCTCCCCATAATAATTCATTTATCCTGTGTCCTTGCATCCATCCAAGCAACAAGACTTGTAGTCCTCCTTCTCCTCCCATTGCAAGCACACACACAAAGTCCCTGATCTTGCAAATGTCCTGGACTTTTCCCATGTCCAAGATACTCCAAGAAGGAGAGGACCAAACTGGAGTTCTTAGTAAGAGAACACTCTCATGCACACGGTGACTCAGAACAGATACTAGGATTGCCAATATCCAGGTGGTGCAAACCAAGGAGAGAGATCACGGGAAGGAAGTGAAAAAGGAAACAAACAACCGTGATATATTATGCCACAAAAGTCTCCAAAAACTAGAAATTTCTTTTTCCAATATTCAGTTTACTGGATGCAATTCAACCGCCATCAACACCAACAGATCATGCGAATCATCTCGTTTCGTGTACAACTTTGTCAAAGTGAATAGCGTTGAAATACCTACATTTAATTACACAAATGTATAATTCTGTTATTAGTATTAATGTAAGAAAGAAAATAGGAGCTGCGGTGGCTCAAGTGGTTAAGACGCTGAACTGCAGGCAGTTCAAGACCCGGGTGCCGCAAGACGGGGTGAGCTCCTGTCTCTAGTTCCAGCTCCTGCCAACCTAGCAGTTCGAAAGCAAGAAATTGCAAGTAGAGAAATAGGTACCACTTCGGTGGGAAGGTAACAGCGTTCCGTGCGCCTTGGTGTTTAGTCATGACCACGGAAACGTCTTCGGACAGCGCTGGCTCTTCGGCTTTGAAACGGAGATGAGCACCGCAACCCTAGAGTCGGACTCGACTGGCTTTCGAGCAAGGGAACCTTTACCTTTACTTTAAGCAAGAAAATAGCACAAGGCTGTACAAACAACTGACTGTTCTATAACACACTTACAAGATTAATCCATTTAACAAACTCACTGGTAATATTTAATACTGACATTCTTCAAAATCCATCAGTGTAATGTCAATTCATTCTTCCTATTTACTTATACATATCTAAAGCCCATAATTGCTGCCAGCCGGCTGTTTGTCAGACCTGCATCTTAAAGGGACAAAACCCATTTGCAAAGGCAGTAATGCCCTGAGGAGTAGCAAAACCAATTGAGGTTTTACAAACTTTTACCCTTTCAAACACATCAGTAATTGCTGCCATCCTGACAGTCAACCCATTTGACAAAACAGAACTATTTTACCAGGGACAAAAAAGACAAAGGGAGAAGAGCACCATTTAAGAAGCCACCATAATTTTACCCACGAGAAACCCTATGCTTTACACACATTACAAAAAGACTTATCAAAAGGAAGAAACACCAATAGAAAACCAACATGATCTTACATAAGAAAGCACATATGCTGCACAAAATATTAAAAAGGAAAGGTTCCCTTGCTCGAAAGCCAGTCGAGTCTGACTCTAGGGTTGCGGTGCTCATCTCCGTTTCAAAGCCGATGAGCCAGCGCTGTCTGAAGACGTTTCCGTTTTATACAAGCACAAAACCTTACAAAAAACAGCTAAGGTCCAATTCAGCATTAAGCCCATTAGGTGTAAGAGAATTAAGTTTATGAATCCATCTGGCCTCCTCCTGAAGGAGAACTTGCCGTACATTGGCATTTTTGTCCGCCACAAAGAGAACAGTATATCTAAAGTCATCACATTTATGTTTCTTAGTATTGAAATGTTCAGTTAAAGCAGAAATATTATTTTTAATACGTGAGATATGTTCCAGGATGTGGACCTTGATAGGTCTAGACGTCTGTCCGATATAAATTAATTCACAGGCACATAAAATAAGATACACCACATTTCCACTTGAACATGTTGAGAACTTGGACAGTTTTATCTGATGTTGACCGGGAAGATTAATCACATCCCCCTCAATTGCTAAATGACAAGTTTTACAGCGAAAGTTTTTATGGTGCCCCGGGGGGAAGTGTCCTATCATTTAAAGGTAAAGGTAAAGGTTCCCTTGCTTGAAAGCCAGTCGAATCGACTCTAGGGCTGCGGTGCTCATCTCCGTTTCCGCTGTCCGAAGACGTTTCCGTGGTCATGTGGCCGGCATGACCTAAACACCAAGGTGCACGGAACGCTGTTCCCTTCCCACCGAAGTGGTACCTATTTATCTACTTGCAATTTCTTGATTTCGAACTGCTAGGTTGGCAGGAGCTGGAACTAGAGACGGGAGCTCACTCCGTCATGCGGCACCCAGGTCTCGAACTGCTGAACTATCGACCTTCCACAGCCTGCAGTTCAGCGTCTTAACCACTTGAGCCACTGTAGCTCCATCTGTCCTATCATTTACATGACCCCTAAAGTCGGAACGTACCACTAAATCCTTTATGCTTTTAGTTTTTCTAAAGCCAGCTATAGGGGAATTGCCACACCCTGGGATATCTTCCACCAGAGTCCACAACCTTTGTACAGTCCTTTTTATGGGCATAGCCAAGGGTGTATATTGCAAAGCCCAATTAATACTCTCATTTTTTACTCTCATTTTGTCGGTTAGCAAACTGTATCTAGAGACACCCAAAGCTCTCACTTCTGCTTTTTCAATGATGTCTATAGGGTACCCTCTAGTAGTGAAATCCTGAAATAATTCCTTTCACATGCAAAATCTTGCTGCTGTGTGCAATTACGCTTTATTCTCAGAAACTGGCCATAAGGCACATTGTGACGTAAATGTGCAGGATGATAAGAGTCAAAATGAAGATAGGTATTTTTATCAGTAGCTTTTCTAGAAGTCTTCACTGCTAGCCTGTTGTCCTGAGTTTTATACACCAAGGTATCCAAAAAATTAATTTCTCTCAACCCATGCTGCCAAGTGAATTCTATGTTCACATCAATTGAATTCATCCAGCCACAGAACTGAGCTAGGGTCTTACTACTTCTATACAAAAGGAAATAATCATCAATGTATCTCCAAATCATGATCACCTGCTCAAAATAGGGATTCTTTTCTGGATTTAGAATGATTTCTGCCTCCAGTTTGGACATGTATAAATGTGCGATAGATGGAGCAACTGGTGACCCCATGGGCACTCCCTTTATCTGAAAATAATAAAATCACTATCAAACCTGAAAAAGTTTTTTTCTAGAATTATGTCTAGGAAATGTAACAAAAAATGTGTGGGCGGAGTTAAGGCACTCCGGAAGGTATCATTTACCTAACATGGCTACCCACCTGAACCTATGTGTATGGTGTTTGTCCTTTGTTTCTTTCACACGTAGCTCTGCCAGTGCTTTTCATTAAGCCTCTTGAGAACCAGGAGGCAGAAGAGGGTGGCACCGTCACCCTGAGCTGCGAGATCTCAAAAGATGGCGCATCTGTGCAGTGGAAGAAAGCAGGGTCCCTGCTACGCCCCAGTGACAAGTACAAGATGAAGCAGGTGGGAGCGGTGGTGGAACTGACCATCTGCAAACTGAGCGCCTCCGACGGTGGGGAATACACTTGTGACACCGGAGACCAGAAGACCACCGCGGCTCTGCTCGTGAAAGGTGGGGGTTTGGCGTGACCTCTTGCAGGGCAGAGCAAATTTGCATTGTGAACTAGAGCTATGAAAGTCCACCTGGGAAAGGCTGCTAATTTTGCCGCCTTTTGCAATTTAGATTCACTTTGGAGTTTCCCACCAATGTTCCCTCTCAGCTGAGTTAGTGTGAGCTAGCTCACAGTTTTTTTTAAGCTGCCGGCTCACACATTTTTACCTTTCCTCAGGAAGGGATGGCTCCAGAGCAGACTAATTTATGCAGTAGCCAAATTGCTTGCTCACAACTTTAATGCCAGGAGTTCACAAAGTAGAATTTCTGCTCACAAGACTCCACAGCTTAGAGGGAGCATGGGTGGTAGGTATTCAGCGTTAGGAGGTGGGGGGAGGTGTGTTGGAAGCCATCTCACCTCCTCTCCTACACCTGACAGGCAGCTGCCTGTCCAGTGTAGGAGGGGGAGGGGGGAGGAGTATTAGAAGCCATGGTGGAGGTGGGGCTGCACCTGATAGACAACCGCCTGTTAGGTGTAGGAGGTGGGGGAAGTGTGTTGGAAGCCACCCCACCTCCTCTCCTACACCTGACAGGCAGTGTCCAGTTAAGGAGGGTGAGGGGAGTGTGTTGGAAGACACCAGAGAGGCTGGGCCAGCAGCTTTGCTTCACCTCACAGGTGGTTCTTGGCCACTCCTGATTTCCTCAACTGTCATTAGCTTTCTGCTGTAACTGTTGTTGGGGTTTTTTTACCTCAGAACACTGAGCTCTGCAGCAGACCAATCAGAGAGTGGGGGGTGCAGAGAGTCAGCTGCCTGGCAGCCGCATAGGAATCAATGTGGGGAGCACATTTCCCCCCTTTTTGACCCACTTAGGGGTCGAATTTCTAAAAATCCCTTTTTAGCGAGCACCTACGCCACGGTGGCTCAAGTGGTTAAGATGCTGAACTGCAGGCTGTGGAAGGTCGGTAGTTCAGCAGTTAGAGACCCAAGTGTGCCACATGACAGAGTGAGCTCCTGTCTCTAGTTCCAGCTCCTGCCAACCTAGCAGTTCGAAAGCGAGAAATTGCAAGTAGATAAATAGGTACCACTTCGGTGGGAAGGTAACAGCATTCCGTGCGCCTTGGTGTTTAGTCATGCCGGCCACATGACCACGGAAATGTCTTCAGACAGCGCTGGCTCTTCGGCTTTGAAACGAAGATGAGCACCGCAACCCTAGAGTCGGATTCGACTGGCTTTCGAGTAAGGGAACCTTTACCTTTACCTTACGCCACGGTAGGAACGCTCTCCCCGAATTTGGTGTCTCTAGGTCCAGCGATTTGATTTTACAGTGAGGGGACTTTCTTTTATATATATATAGATGAACTGACCTGTAGCCTGGTCACTGGTCAATTCGTAATTGGGAGATATTACCTGAGTTTTGCCACGTAGGCATTTTGGGTTTTCTCCTTCCTTTTTTTGGTTAGAGTTCAGTGTGTAGGCAAAGTCACCATCTCGGAGTAACCAGTAGTTTGAAAGCGGTAGCTTAGTCAGCTAGAGTGTTTATTCCTTTAGGTAGCCTTTATTTTAGGGTCTGAGCA